GATATATTCAGAATATTCCATCCTAAAACAGCAGAATACACATTCTTCTGAACAGATTCAGAACAGATAACATATTAGGCCACAAAACAAGTCTCAAGAAATTCAAAAAGATCAAAGTCAAACCATGCATTTTTTCCTGATCAAAATGCTATGACACTAGAAATCAGTCACAAGAAAAAAAAATCTAGAAAGAGCATAGATACACGGAGGTTAAACAACATGCTACTAAACAATGAATGGGTCAACCAAGAAATCAAAGAGGAAATGGAAAAATACATGGAGACAAATGAAAATGAAAACACAATAATCCAAATCTTTGGGATGCAGCAAAAGCAGTTCTAGGAAGGAATTTTATAGCAATACAGGCCTACCTTAAGAAGCAAGAAAAATCTCGAACAACCTAATATTACACCAAAAGGAGATAGAAAAGGAAAAACAAAACCCAAAACCAGTAGAAGGAAGGCAATAATAAAGATTAGAGGATAAATAGATGAAATAGAAACTAAAAAACACAATAGAACGGATCAATGACACCAGGACCTGGTTCTTTGAAAAAGACAACAACAACAAAAAATTGATAAGCCAGATTCATCAAAACAGAGAGGACTCAAATAAACAAAATCAGAAATGAAAGAGGAGAAATAACAACTGACAGCACAAAGAATTATAAGAGAATATTATGAAAAATTATATGGCAACAAATTGGACAGCCTAGAAGAAATGGATAAATTCATAGGAACATATAACCTCCCAAAACTGAAGCAGGAAGAAATAGAAAATTTGAACAGACCTATTACCAGTAATGAAATTAAACCAGTAATAAAAAATACTCTCAACAAACAAACTCCAGGACAGATGGCTTCACAGGTGAATTTCACCAAACATTTAAAGAGTTAATACCTATTCTTCTCAAACTATTCCAAAAAATAGAGGAAGGAAAGCTTCCAAATTCATTCTATGAGGCCAGCAATACCCTGATAACAAAACCAGATAAAGACACCACAAAAAAAAAGAGAAATACAGGCCAATATCTCCAGTGAACATAGATGCAAAAATCCTTAATAAAATATCAGCAAACTGAATCCAACAATACATGAAAAAAATAATTCACCGTGATCAAGTGGGATTTATTCCTGGAAAGCAAGGGTGGTTCAATATTCACAAATCAATCAATGTTATACATGACATCAATAAGAAAAAGGATAAGAACCATGTGATAATTTCAATAGATGTGGAAAAAACATTTGACAAAGTACAATACCCATTCATGATAAAAACTCTCAACAAAGTAGGTTTAGAGAGAATATATCTCAACATAATATAGTCATATATGAAAAACCCACAGCTAATATCATAATGCTGAAAAATTGAGAACTTTCCCTAAGGTTAGGAACAAGGCAAGGATGTCCACTCATCACTTTTATTCAACATAGTACTCAAAGTCCTAGCCACAGCAATCAGACAAGAAAAAGTTATAAAAGGCATCCATATTGGTAAGGAAGAAGTAAAGCTGTCACTATTTGCAGATGACATAATACTACATATAGAAAACCCTACAGACTCCCCCAAAAGACTACTAGAACTGATAAATAAATTCCGTTAGTTCACAAATACAAAAGTCAATGTACAGAAATATATTGTATTTCTATACACCAATAATGAAGCAACAGAGAGAGAAATTAAGAAAGCAATCCCATTTATAACGACACCAAAAAGAATAACATACCTAGGAATAAACTTAATGTACGAGATGAAAGACCTATACTCTGAAAACCGTAAGACATTAATGAAAGAAACTGAATATGACATAAATGGAAAGATATTCTATACCCGTGGATTGAAAGAACAAATATTGTTAAAATGTCAGTCCTACCCAAAGCAATCTACAGATTCAATGCAATCCCCATCAAAACATCAACAGCATTTTTCACACAACCAGAACAAATAATCTTAAAATTCGTATGGAACCACAAAAGACCCCAAATAGCCAAAACAATCTTGAAAAAGAAAAACAAAGCTGGAGGTATCACAATTCCAGATTTCAAATTATACTGAAAAGCTATGATAATCAAAACAGTATGGTACTGGCACAAAAATAGACACATAGATCAATGGAACAGGATAGAAAAGCCCAGAAACAAACCCATGATTAATGGTCAATTAATCTTTGGGAAAAAGACAGACTCTTCAACAAATGGTGTTGGGAAAACTGGACAGCTACAAGCAAAAGAGTGAAACTGGACCACTTTCTTACACCATACACAAAAATGAACTCAAAATGGATCAAGGACCTAAATATGAGACCTGAAACCATAAAAATCCTAGAAGAAAGCACAGGCAATAAGTTCTCTGACACTGGTGTAGCAACTTTTTTCTAGATACATCTCCTGAGGCAAGGGGAACAAAAGCAAAAACAAACTATTGGGACTACATCAAAGAAAGAAATTAATGCACAGTGAAGGAAGCAATCAACAAAACCAAAACTCAGCTTATTGAATGGGAGAAGATATTTGCAATTGACATATCCCAAGGGCTATGTATTCAAAATATATAAAAAACTGATATAACTCAACACCCAAAAAACCCAAGTAATCCAATTAAAATGGCAGAAGACATGAACAGACATCTCTCCAAAGAAAACATCCAGATAGCCAATAGACACATGAAAAGATGCTCATCATCACTCATCATCAGGGAAATGTAAATCAGAACTACAATGAGATATTACCTCACACTCATCAGAATTGCTAAAACCAAAACCTCAAGAAACAACAAGTATTAGCAAGGATGTGTAGAAAAAGGAACTCTCATGCTCTGTTGGTGGGAATGTGAACTGGGGCAGCCACTGTGGAAAACAGTATGGAGGTTCCTCAAAAGTTAAAAATAGAACTACCTTGGGGCATCTGGGTGGTTCTGTCAGTTAAACATCTGACTCTTGATCTCAGCTCAGGGTTGTGAGTTCAAGCCCCTCATTGGGCTCCATGCTGGACATGGAGCTTACTTTAAAAAAAAAAAGGAACTACTCTACAATCCAGTAATCACACTACTGGGTATTTACCCAAAGAATATGAAAACACGAATTCAAAGGGATATATGTACCCCTCTGTTTACTGCAGCATTATTATAATAGCCAAATTATGGAAGCAGGCCAAGTATCCACTGATAGATGAATGGATAAAGAAGACATGGTATTATATACAACAGAATATTATTTAGCCATAAAAAGAATGAAATCTTGCCATTTGCAACAACATGGATGGAGCTAGAGAGTATAATGCTAATTGAAGTAAGTCGGTCAGAGAAAGACAAATACCATATGATTTTACTCATATTTATAATTTAAGAAACAAAACAAACCAAAAAATAAGACTCCTAACTATAGAGAACAAACTGGTGGTTACCAGAGGGGGGGATGGTAGGGGGGTGGGTGGGAGAAATAAGTGAAGGGGAATTAAGAATACGCCAATCACAGGGTGCCTCAGTCGGCATCTGGCTCTTGGTTTCTGCTCAGGTCACAATCGCAGGGTTGGGAGATCAAGCCCCACCTCAAGCTCCATGCTCAGCATGGAGTCTGATCCAGATTCTCTCTCTCCCCCTCCTTCTGCCCCTCCCTGCACTCTAGCTCCCTCTCTCAAAATAATTTTTTTTTAAAAGAATACACCTATCATGATGATCACTGAGTAATGTACAGAATTGTTGAATCACTATCTTATACACCTGAAACTTATATAACACTGTATTTACTTTATTGGAATTAAAGTAAAAAACTTATTAAAAAAGAAAGTTCCCCTCACAATAAAAAATTTTTATAACTGTGAACGGTGATAATGTTAATGAGGCTTGTTGTGGTGATCTTTTCACAATATTTACAAATAATGAATCATGTTGCACACCTGAAGCTAATATTATATGTCAGTTTACCTCAAAAAAGGTCCTCTTGATCCCAGGTGGTTTACTTATATAGCCTCCCAACCAAAGAAGCTATAATAACTAAGATGTCTTTTCCTTTATAAAATGTGGATAGTTATATGATTGGTGAAGTTATAAAATCAGCCAATTGGTTTTCATTGTATAGCAACTATTGCAACTGGCCACGTAAGTGACATCAATGAATGTTTACTGGCCTTCCTGATTTAGTAGCTCTATACCCAGAGGCAACTCAGAGAGTTTCTTGGAGAAGCACTAGAATAGCAAACCTGGGTTCAAGTCCTGACATTGCCACTTTTTAGCCATGTGAACCCAGGCATACTGTTGAACCTCTGCAGGCTGTTTTCTCATTGATAAAGTGGGCGAAATAATTATACCTATCCCTTACATACTACCTGTGAGAATTAAACAGGGTAATGCATACAAAGGGTTTCGCATCTTCCTGGTACACAGAAATAAATAGTGTAGTTCAATACTTTCTTACAGAGGCTTTGGAATATAGCCACCCCCCCCCCCCAAGTCATGTGAAAGGCTTAACCATCTTACCGCAAATGCACGCTTGATGGAGGGCACGTTGCTGAATGCGATCACGACCGGAATGATGTCAAGGGCACTGAATTCCATAGTTGCAGTGGTAATGGTCTGGGCATCGGCCGACTGACCGCTGCTGAAGAAGGTGGCGATTCTTCTTGCGTGAGCCCCTGGAAGCGTTCGCTTGAAGACATTTCTGGCGATAAACCTCATCACTTTGCCGATCTCCCTGCTTTCCGAGGACCTCTCGTAAGGAATAGCTTCAATCTCCCTGAGGAGCTGGTTCTTCTTGTAGGCGTCTGAGAAGCGGATGAGGTGCCGGGCGTGAGAGGTATAGGTGAGGATAGCGATGCGTGCGCCCACCGGGCAGCTGTTCTCCCGGACCCTGACGCCCCTCACCAGGGAAGACAGCAGCTCCTTCATGCGCTCAAATTCCTGCTTGGTGACATCTCGAGACTGGTCCAAGGCAAACACCAATTCGGTGGGATGCACGGGGCATTCTGGTTTTCCTAAAGGAAAACCTTATGTAGCATGCTTACTTAAAAAAAAAATTTTTTTTTTTTTTAAAGATACATAGAGGGCGCCTGGGTGGCTCAGTTGGTTAAGCGACTGCCTTCGGCTCAGGTCATGATCCTGGAGTCCCCGGATCGAGTCCCGCATCGGGCTCCCTGCTCAGCGGGGAGTCCGCCTCTCCCTCTGACCCTCCCCACTCTCATGCTATCTCATTCTCTCTCTCAAATAAATAAATCTTAAAAAAAAAAAATAAAAGGATAGAGGGCAAAGTAATTTTAAATGTTAAATATGCAAATATTTAAATAAGCATTAAATGCTAAAATGAGCAGTTGAAACATTAAACGTTTAAATCTTGCATGAAAATGCTATTTTAAAAATTGAATTTGCTTTTTTACATAAAGCCCAAGAGAAAGTATCATTCAATTTGAGTTTTTATGAAATTTGTAAGTTAATGACCGAATTCCTTCTAAGTAATCAAAAGCTCATGGATATGCCTTTTTACTTACAGAAATTGGGTCACTGGTATTATGTTTATTGCTGGAACTTTATACCGTTAGCTAAACTAAAACATACATGTTTTTACTTAATAAGGAAATGTAACAGGAGTTAAGGAAGGAATGGGTCCAAAAGCTCTGTTAATGACTTCAGAGACATTAAGAAGAGAATGGATGTGCAGTATATAGAACAACGCATCAGATGTGGAGAATAGGTGCTGCAGAGACGTGTTAGAGACCTGACCTGATTCTGCACTAGCCATGTGACCTTGTCCCAGCGACTTATCTTCTCTGGGCCTCATTTTGCTCATCTGTAAAATGCCAGTCCTAAGATCAGCCACTGCAAAGCCCTGTATTGAGGATTCAGTGAACCAACACAGGCAAAGCACTTAGGACAACAGGGCCTGGCACATGACAGGTGCTCAGTTAATATCAGCCATTACTATTACAATTATTATTACAGACTTTTTCATTGTGAGAACTATATCACTTAAAAGAATGAGGAAAGCTTTCAGGGATATATTTTTATTTAACAGTTAAAAAGGCAAATTTAACCAATAAATATACCTATTACATAGAGAAACTGAATTGTTAAACTTGAACGTTAAATGTTAATTTCAGATTTATTTCTGGAACCCAATTCATTCATTTTAATCCCGGTACCCTGCATTTATCACAGTTGGCACCTTATTTGTCTGATTATCTGATTAATGTTTTCCTCTCCATGAAGTGTGAAGACAGGGACTGTGTCTCTCCTGATCTGCCAGATTATTACTTCCTGCCATTTATCAGGGTTCTAGTAAATGTTGACTGAATGAAGCAGCAAACAAAGGACAGTTCTTTTGCAGCAGGTACAGGAAGAACAAAACTTTTAAAATGGGGGAGATTCCTGGTATTGAAATGTAGGTTGGTAAAAGAAAATCTCAATGATGCACTTCTCTTGGAGGGGTGCCTCCTCTCATTCAGATGCCAGCAAGTCAGAATCAGAGATAATAAAAGCAGCTTGAGGCCTATCAGCTCTTTATGAGAACTCAGAAACTCAGATTTGTTGGGGCTGGCCTGGGCTGGTCAAGGAGTGAGTCCTCTGCTGTGACCAGCTGTGCTTCCGTCCCGTCTTGGTGCTAGATGATTATCTCCTTCTGGTCCTGGACTCTGTGACCCAATAGGCTAATGGACCAGTAAGAATAAACATTTAACCTCAAACCAAACTGTGCTTCTCAGTGGAGACAGGACATAAGTTATTATTAGCCTCTGAGTCTAACTTAGAAGGCTGAGCAGATGTTAAAAAAAAAATTGAGGTCATGTCAACTTTACAATAAAGGGTGGAAGTATGACTAAACATGAAAGTGGTTCTGCCAGCTTTTTGTTTGGGCTGTGATTTGCATATGGGAACAACACAACAATAATGCCGCTTCAGGTGCAATTTAGAGATAAAGGGAAAAAAGACTCACAGCACTGGCTGAACTATGAAAAAATCCACGTTTTCAGGAAAAAATACCTAAAAGGTAATTCAACTTGCAAAATACATGTTCTGAAATCCAGCAAGCTGCCAGGAAACCAGAAGATTCTGAAGAACGCTGCGCTGGCTTGTGGTGGTACGTAGGAGGCCCTCCTCAAGGCACAGATGACCACACAGAGACCTCGTATGGCTCTGTGGCCATATACCGTATGCTGATGGCTACTGCTTGGCACAGAGCAGGTGATGACAAGGACAGGGAAAGAGAAGCCACTGACATGTACCTAAGGCTCAGCAGTGGCAGCCCTCGAGGCCACCACCACATTTGTCTGGAATACCACCACACCCTCCTAACTAGTCGTCTGGCCTTTAAACTTATCCTCCCCTACAGTCTACTCTTCCATAGTAGCCCAAATAAGTGTTCAAAAATCCTTCATCAGGGGCGCCTGGGTGGCTCAGTCATTAAGCGTCTGCCTTTGGCTCAGGTCATGATCCCAGGGTCCTGGGATCGAGCCCCGCATCAGGCTCCCTGCTCGGCGGGAAGCCTGCTTCTCCCTCTCCCACTCCCCCTGCTTGTGTTGCCTCTCTCACTGTGTCTCTCTCTGTCAAATAAATAAATAAAATCTTTAAAAAAAAAAATCCTTCATCAGCTCATGTTCTTCCTTCAATACTTTGGATAAACTCTTCAATACCCTCTCATTCCAATTTGAATACAATCCACCCTCCCTATTTGAATCTAAAAAGTTCAGCTTGACCTGGCTTCTGCTTGCTTCATTTTTTCACAAGCCAATCTCCCCTTCCCTCACTGGACTTGCACCAGTTCCCAGGAAATGCCTATGTCTGTCTTGTATCATGGCCATTGCACTTGCTCCTCTTTCTCCTGGCTCTTGTAAAGCTGGCTTCTTTTTATTCTTCAGTCCAAACTCTAATGTCACTGCCTCAAAGAGGAGCCCTCCATCCTAAAGCAACTCTCCCCTCCCCTAACATTATTCTGTGACAGAGCATCCTATTCTTTATCTCTTTCACAGCAACTATAGGATTCTGTATTTCTTTGACGTGTTTATCATCTGGATCCTCTGCTGGAATGGAAGCTTCTGAAGAAAAGAATTATGTCCATCTTATTCAGCCCTGTTCCCCAGTGCCTAGTACATAATATGCTTTCAATAAATATTTGTTGAGTGAGTGAAGATGCAACCAGAGGGCATGGATTGATGGGTTTAGACAAAAGGTATAGGGTATAAAGGTGTAAGAGGGTAACTGCTGTTACATCTAAATTCTTAACCACTAGACTACAGAGACAATAGAGAAAATGAAGGGAAGGAGACATATTATTACAAAAGACCTAATGGTAACATAAATAGTATAATGTTAGTCATTAAAATATTAATAAAAAAATCAAACTACTTGGTTGAGAAACAGCTGTGAGACTCAGCTAAAGCAGAGTGATTTATTGGAGGCAGGTCTGTGCTACCAGTATGAGGCAGCAAAGACAGCTCAGATAAAATTTATATTATTTGGCAGGCAACACATTGTTTTGACTCCTCTTTCCAGATGTAGGACATTTTGGAGCTTGATTATAACTTGCTGTAAATAAAGATTACTCACCATGTCCGCCAGCTGGGGGAGAAGAACAAAGGAGATTGGGTTATTATTTGGTAGAACAAAGTTCTGTACTGTGTAGGGAAATCATGGCAGTAGAAGCTCTGCCCTGTGTGCTTTTCGTAGATGACTCAAACATTGAGGCAACAGAAAGGGTCTGGAGAAAATGCAGACGGATCCCAGCATCTTGGCAAAAACAAGACAGGATGGGAGAAGTGGGACAATATATAGCCGTAAATCAGTAGCCTGCAGCCAACTGTCAGAGGGAAAGAACCTTTGCCTGGGAAAGAACGTTACAGTGCAGAGAGGTGCACTGAATTTGGAAAGGTTAAAAGGTTCTAACCTCTCTTTATTCTAATTTTTCTCCATGTAGAGATCTATAGATATGGATTTTATATATATGCACATATATAAGTCTGTACAGATAGGTATTTGTGTATGTGTGTAAACATTAGAGATGGGTTTACTCTGAAGCAGATGAAGCATAAATATGCTTTAGGTCTGCACTGTCCAATATGGAAGTCACTAGCCACATGTGACTATTTAAATTTTAATTAAAATTAAATGTATTAATTTCAGCTTCTCAGTAGCACTAACCACCTTTCAAGTACCCAAAGTCACAGGCTAGTGGCTAGCGGCTACCATATTGAACAGTGTGGTAGAACACCTCCATCACTGCAGAAAGTTCTATTGCTTTAGACATCTCACCTTCTCATTTGCCCAGTGCAAGACCCTGAGAAGGGACTAGCCATGTGTTCACGTGATCATGTGCTTTTACAATATGCAAAAGTTGTTGGTTGTGATTTCTTTTCTTGTTCTAAACAACACTTTCTTTTGAAATAATTTTGTACCTACTTTTGGATTTATAATTTTGTATTGAGCCTCTCAAATTATAAAAGATTGGGCCTCATCACACTTGGATCTACCTTTGAGTCATTATAGTTCACATGGCTCTAATGTTAAAAAGTGAACTGTATTAAGTCAGCCCAAAGCAACCAGCCTTCATGACTTATCATATATGTTTTGATTTTTCATCATGGGTGGTTCCATTTTGGTACAAAAAGGTAGAGTTGAGTCAACACTGCATTCAAAGCTTTAAAAAGTTTGTCTTTGAGACCAAGGCCCTCTATAGAAATGGGCTCTAAAAGACCTCAAAGGAATTTTTCATTCATGGTGTTTATTTGGGAAGTCATCACATATTTGTAAATAAACACTAAAGTCAATTCTTCCCTCATATGTGGAATTCCTTTAATGATGCTAACATATATTTTGATAGAAGACACTGCTATAGGAGTCTTAAAACAAATTCAAAAGAGCATTTGCCAAATCAAAATGCCTTTTTGCTTTAAAAATTTGGAGAAAAAACATATAAGCAAAATGAGTAATTTTATAAGTAAATCAATCATTCCAACGAAAAGTAATCAAGCATACCTTTCCAGAAAAGAATAAACAATAAACCAAAGTAAGTGCTCCCACCCATCAGGACACCTTATTATCCACAGCTAGCTTTCACACCTGGTGAATTCAATCCTGTGTTACTGTCAGGTGTTAATCATTTTTAAAAGTTCAATGTGACTCTCCATTGATTGATTTCACCATCAGAAGAGTTCTGACCTCATACCTCAATTTTCCCTAGGTTAAAAGCACTAGATATAGTATTAATTAGTGCTTGGAACAGGTTCTAATAGACATGAAGGCAGTCAGAGAAGGAGTTAATAGTCACCAATCTATGTTGACTCAAAATATATGCAGTGACATCTCTAATGTTAAGAGATTGGCTGGTAAATTGGCTCAATTCTGAGTTCAGACTTCACTGCTCTTCTTCTACGAATGCTTTGACAACTTGGGTGATCAATTTAAGCAGGATACTTACGGCTATGGTCCCGTACATACTGAATGAGCTCACACATCTGCAATTCAAAAATAAAACAAAGAATTAACCAACCGACTGCCAGGTCTTCAAGTCTAAAAATAAATATAACGGAGTACAGAGCATTCTTTTGGAGTCAGGAGATACATACAGAAAATGAAGCCAATCCTCTGGCCCCTTTCACACCCTAGGAAACAAAAGAAATGTAGTCTCATTGCTCTGCACACACTCATCAGTAGCCAGAATGTGCATTAACCTCAGAAAGTGAAGCTTTCTAAAGTTTTTATTCTTATTAAGTTAGAGGGAAAAAAGAATACATGTAGAACGATCCTCATTGCTGAATTAAGAGTAACATTCATCTAGCAAGCTTGATGAACACAAACCTCTAAAGGCCACCTTCCTCCAGCCCCATCTGTGGACAACAAGGGTCATTCAAAATCTAAGGATGGAGCTGAATACTTAACACTGGCAAGAAGAGCTTTGAAGCAGGTTTATGGCTTAGATATAGATAAGGCTGAACCATCTATTATAACTGCCCATCCTTAAGGGACAGAGTTCCTCAACCCCATACTTTGCCTTGGCCACTGAACAGCAGCTGAACTGAATCTTCCTGTTTCCATCATTGGTTGGATGACAAAGGGACCAGACTCAAACTGTATCTGGAAAGGTAATCCCAATAGTCTTCCAAAAGTGAATGAATGAATATATATATATTCATTCATATATATATATGTGTGTGTGTGTGTGTGTGTGTGTGTATATCTGTCTGGATTGGGCATAGAAAGAACAAAGTGGAATTGGTTTTAATTTCACAGGTTCAATTCCATCTCTGGAACAGGAAGAGTCTGGCTGTTCTCAAAGAGAGACATCCAAGGAAAAATGCAGTGAAGTCCCACCCAAACTCCTGGAGAAAATAAGTTCCATGTGAATACAACTTTGATCATTTATTCCCTGTTTATTAATTTCCTCTCACTTCCCTTCATTCACTAACCACTTACTGAATATAGGAAGAGGACAAGGACTGGGCAAATAAAATTCACCAATAATTGAGAAATCACATTTTAGTCCAATACTTTTCATTTCCTCTCTCAAATTACCCTTATCTCATGAGAAATGGTGACTAATATTTAATCATTTCTCCCTCATATCTCTAAGCACATAAATGCAGAAAAACAGTGAAAATAGTTACCAAGTGCAAAGACAGAAAGCATGCACATTTGGACAATGAAGACTCCATGCACTTTTTATTTAGAAAAGGATCTGGTGTGATTTATGACTTTTCAACTTACCTTGCGTCCAGGAGGTCCTGGCTCCCCAGGGGATCCCATCTCTCCTGGAGGCCCAGTGGATATCTCAAAGCAAAATTCATTCATTTATTTATTTTTTTAAAGATTTATTTACTCATTTATTTGAGAGAGAGAGAAAGAGACAGCGAGAGAGAGACAGTGAGAGAGGGAACACAAGCAGGGGGAGTGGGAGAGGGAGAAGCAGGCTTCACGCTGAGCAGGGAGCCCGGTGCGGGGCTCGATCCCAGTGCGATCATGACCTGAGCCGAAGGCAGACGCTTAAGGACTGAGCCACCCAGGCACCCCCAAGATTCATTTATTTTAAAATTATATTTATACATATATGTATGAGGTTTGTGGGTTTTATTTTTTATAGATTATTTCTTTCACAGAGCGAGCAAGCTTGCGAGCGTGCATGCGCACAAGCGGGGAGATCAGAAGGAGAAGCAGACTCGTGCTGAGCAGGGGAGCCTGATGCGGGACTTGATCCCAGGACTCTGAGATCATGACCCAGCGGAAGGCAGACGCTTAACCAATGGAACCACTGAGGCATCCCTAATGCTTGTGAGTGTGTTTTAAATGTCAAAGGTAATGCACTTTTATTTTAGAACATTGAGAGTTTTCCAAAAAGTACACAAAAGGAAAAAAATCTTTAGCAATTCTTTTGCTTCCAGATAATCCTTGTTAACATTTGGTGTCTTCTAGTCTTTTACTTTTTTATTCTTTTGGTATTTTTATATGTTTACATCTACATATATTCTTTTAAAATATAATTTTATACTTTTCTGTTATCTTTTAAACTGAATGTATCTCTTGAATTTTCACATTATTAAGTTTTGGGGGGGGCAAAATCATTTTTAATGGCTGCATAATATTCCATCACACAGATGTACCATGATTTCTTTCATCAGTCCCTTATTGTTGGCATTTAGGTTTGCTGTTGTTGTAATAAGCAACACCAAGAAAAATTATATGTGCAATTCTGATTATTTCCTTAGGGAAGATTGCTAGAACTGGAGTTGCTAGATCAAAGGAGAAATTTTTATCTAAATGAGACAGTAGATGACAACAAATAAATGAACAAAAAACCCAGAAAAACAAAAATTTAAATATAAGACCCCTGAAACAACAGGAAGAAAACACTTAAAAATTGGCTGGAGACATTTGTAGTGAAATGAGGAATAACAGCAGTAATAAAAACAATTGTTGACTACTTACTATATGCCAAGAATTCTTCCATGTGCATTTAACAATATCATTTATCATAAAGAAGACTAAAATTTAATTTAAAAATTAGGGCAATATTCCTTAGTTCATTCAAAATGCCATGGGATTTATAAACTTCACAGGAATGGAAAAATGAAGTTGTCTAAAATCAACTTAATTTGTACAAGCATTACCTGTGACACAGGGAATAACTGTTGATGTCCTTTGGGTATTCGGGTATTCTACAGTGTGCTGAGCTGAGTGAAAAAAAACCTCACTGGTCATATTTTGTTTAGGAGATATAGACTAACCTCCCAGGAAAAAAAAATGGCAGACTGAACATATGCATTGACTTCTGCTCCCTCTCAATGTCATTAAAATGATAGTAAGTAGATTTTTTTAAAAGGCCAAAAAAAAAAAAAAATGGGGAGCATGAGAAAGAAAACAATAGCCACAAACTTCCAGAGGCTAGAAAGCAGATGTATATTTGTTAAATGACTTAGCAGATCTGAAAAAGCTGTATCCTAAGCCAGTAGCAGGGAAAGCCAAGAATCCATTCCCAGAAAGCTCAAGAATTGGCAGGACCAGGTACCTCCAAAAGAGGAGGTGAAGGGGAGGGGCTAAATAAGGAGGACTGGTTGAAAATCATTTTAGGAATTCTCCAGTCTCCTCTCCATTCTCTGCAACTGGATGAATGAATATCCTCTTTTCCACTCCAAAACAGACAGAAGTAAAGCTGAGGGATCTGCACCAGGGAACTCCAGGCAGAGTTGAGGGCCCATGGTACCCTCCTGAAAACAGGGTGATCCAATGAAGATATGTGAAATAGACATGAGACCCCTCAGGGGGTTTCTTTTCCTTGTGGCTTCATGAAAACTATAGCCAGACCTTCATCCTCAGGCAGGAAATTGAAATAATCTTCTCAGGGGAATCTGACCAAAGAAGGAAGACCTAAAGATATGGATATCAGAGGTCTGCTAAGTAAAGAACTCAGCCAGATTACTCTTCAGTAAAACTTATAGTTGATCAGCTTTACCAATGTCTTTGGGGCTTCCAATTAGCCTTTTTGTCTTTAATTCTTAAATAGGAAGAGATAATCCATTCTCCAGACATGCTGGAAATAGAGATCAATATAGAAAAAAAACTACAGGAAAAAGACTATGTTGGACAAAGAAGATTGTAAAAATACTAATATATATCCTCAGAAAGCTAAGAGAAGATTTTTCAACCATAAAACAAGACAGGATAGTATAAAAAATATTTGGAGAATAAAAACAAGCTCTTTAAAATTAAATCATGAGAGAAGCATTGTGAAATAAAGAAATCTCCCAGAAAAACCCTCAGTTTGTTTCCCAGAGTCCATAGTCTCTCATGTTTCATCTCCCCCTCTGATTCCCCCACCTTCATTTTTCCCTTTCTTCTCCTAATGTCCTCCATGCTATTCCTTATGTTCCACAAATAAGTGAAACCATATGATAATTGACTTTCTCTGCTTGACTTATTTCACTTGGCATAATCTCCTCCAGTTCCATCCATGTTGATACACAAGTTGGGTATTCATCCTTTCTGATGGCTGAGTAATATTCCATTGCATACATGGACCACATCTTCTTTATCCACTCATCTGTTGAAGGGCATCTCAGCTCCTTCCACAATTTGGCTATTGTGGACATTGCTGCTATGAACATTGGGGGTTGCATGTGGCCCTTCTTTTCATTACATCTGTATCTTTGGGGTAAATGTCCAGTAGTGTAATTCCTAGGTCATAGGGTAGCTCTATTTTTAACTTTTTGAGGTACCTCCACACTGTTTTCCAAAGGAGCTGTATCAGCTTGCATTCCCCCCAACAGTGTAAGAGGGTTCCCCTTTCTCCACAACCTCTCCAACATTTGTTGTTTCTTGCCTTGTCAATGATGTATGTATGGTGACTAACATAATAAAATTAAAAAAACAAATATTAAAAAAAAAGAAATCTCCCAGAAAAGTAGAGCAAAAAGACAACCTGAGAAATAGGAGAGAAGAAAGAGATAAGGGGCAGAGGGGATTGCCTTTTTTTTCCCCCTCTCATATGAAAACCTTGTGAAATTATTTGACTCTTTAAATCAGTGGTTCTCAACTAGGGAGAATTTTGTGCCTCCCCACCTACCCCAAGGGGAGATCTGACAATGTCTGGAGACATTTTTGGCTGTCATAATGGGGAAGGGTGGAGAAGGGCAGTGCCACTGATGTCTAGTGGGTAGAGGCCAGAGAAGTTACTAAACATCCTGCAATGCACAGGACAGCCCCCACAACTAAGAATTATCCAGCCTAAAATGTTAATAGTGCTGAGATGAAGATATCCTGCTTTAAAGTATGTGCATGTGTAAAACTGGTAAATATATAAATACACACACACACATATATACCACACATATACACACACACATAATAAGGTTAAAAATCATGAGAAATTAAAAAAAAATCCTTCAGTTGGGAGGAAAAAACAAGGTGAAAATTTAAAAAACAAACTAAAAATGTAATCATTCCAAGAAAACTGAAGAGGCACTCAAAATTGAAGGTAAAACTTTATCAATAGAAGCTTCTACCAATAGAAACTTCAGCTCTTTCAGAAGGAAAACCTGGAAGTTTTCAGTGTCTAAATTTCAACTTCAAACTCAGAAATATTTACATAGATAGGGGAAAAGCAACTTGGCAGGTGAAATAAGAAGTTACAAACAGTGATTAATTGTGGGGAAAAAAGAAATTCAAGTAATCAAAGGCCAAAAGAAAAAGTTCACATGCTTCCCACTGGTTGTTTTATAAAAATGATTAATGTGGCATTGGGGGACAAGAACCCAACAAACAGCTGAACTTGTTAGCATGCTTCCAATGTTCAAGAGTAAAGTACTTTGTTAACAAGCCAAGGGAAAGGATTCAGAGATATTTCAATGCAGATGACATGTGGATTAATTTGAAAGTCTTTTCCAATTACCTTTCTAATTATATCAGTCATTTTTTTGAAATCATAATGTTAAAGGACAGTCATCCAAAAACATGCATGAGGAAAAGAATTATAGCTGAGATGCAATCCTCTTAGGAGAAGCAGGATGGAGGGAAAGAGAAGTTTTTTTATTTTGTATCCCTAAAACCCAATAAATAATGACTACACAGGCAAGAGGTGTCCAAGATGGTGTCATAGTTAGACCCTGAACTCACCTCCTCCCAAGGACACACCGAATCTATAACTACCTAGAGAGCAATTCCTCCTGAAAAAGAACAGAGGGCTGACTGAACAGCTTCTGCACAACAAAGGATAAAGGGACCACAAAGAGAATGGCAGGAGAGATGGAGACACAGTAACCATGGAAACCCCACCCCTGATGCTATGAACTACAGTGCTATGAACATTCTCCAGGATAGATTACATTAGGCTACAAAACAAATATCAATAAATTTAAGAAAACTGAAATTATATCAAACATCTTTCCCACCCACAATGGGATGAAACTAGAAATCAATCACAAGAAAACTGGAAAAAACCACAAATACATGGAGGCTAAACAACATGCTATTAAACAACCAGTGGGTCAATGAAGAAATCAAAGAGGAAATCAAAAAATACCTGGAGACAAATGAAAATTGAAACACAATGGTTCAAAATCTTGGGGATGCAGTAAAAGCAGTTCTAAGGGGGAAGTTTGTAACAATACAGGCCTACCTCAATAAAAGAGAAAAATCTCAAATAAATAATCTAACTTACACCTAAAGGATCAAGGAAAAAAAAAAAAAAACAAAGCAAGTCCAAAGTTAGAAGGAAGGAAATTATAAAGAGCAGAGCAGAAATAAATGAAATAGAGGCTAAAAAGCCTATAGGAAACATTAATGAAACTAGGAGCTGGTTCTTTGAAGAGCTAAACAATATTGATAAACCTTAACCAGACTCATCAAGAAAAAAAGACTCAAATTAGAAATATGAGAGAAGATACAACTGACACTACAGAGTACAAAGGATCATAAGAGACTAATCTGAAAAACTACATAACAACAAACTGGACAACCTAGAAGAAATGGATAAATTCCTAGAAACATTGTTTCCAAGACTGAATCAAAAAAGAAAATCTGAACAGACCAATGACCAGTAATGAAACTGAAAAACTCCAAAAAACCCCAAATATCCAGGACCAGGTGGCTTCACAGGTGAATTCTACCAAATGTTTAAAGAAGAATTAATACTTATTCTTCTCAAACTACTCCAAAAAACAGAAGAGGAAGGAAAACTTCCAAATTCATTCTATGAGGGCAGCATTACCTTTATACCAAAACTGGAAAAAAAAAAACCCCACTACAAACAAAGAAAATTACAGGCCAATATCCCTGATAAATATAGATGCAAAAGTTCTCAACAAAATATTAGCAAATCTAATTCAACAATACTCATCCACCACAATCAAGTGGGATTTGTTCCAGGATACAAGACTAGTTCAATACCCACAAATAAAACAACATGATACCAACACATTAACAAATGAATAAAATCATATGACAAAATTCAGCATCCATTTATGACAAAAACTCTCAACAAAATGAGTTTAGAGGGAATATACCTAACCTAATAAAAGCCACATATAAAAAATCCACAACTAACATCATACTCAATGGTAAAAAACCAAAAGCATTTCCTCTAAGATCAGGAACAATACAAGGATGTCCACTCTCACCATCTTTATTCAACATAGTCCTGGAAATCTGAGCTGCAGCAATCAGACAAGTAAAAAAAGACATCCAAATTGGTAAGGAAGAAATAAAACTGTCACTATTTGCAGATGACACGATGTTAAATATTGAAAACCTTAACAACTCCATCAGAAAACTATTAGAATAAAGGAATTCAGTAAAGTCACAGGATACAAAATATAAGAAATTTCTTGCTTTTCTATACATTAATAACAAGGTAGCAGAAAGAGAAATTAAGAAAACAATCCCACTTACAATTGCATCAAAAAGAATAAAATGCCCAGGAAGACATTTAACCAAGGAGGTGAAAGGCCTATACTATGAAAATTATAGGACATTGATGGATGAAACTGAAGATGACACAAGCAAGTAGAAAGATATCCTATGCTCATGGGTTGGAAGAATTAGAATGTTAAAATGTCCATACTACCCAAAGCAATCTACACAGTTCAATGCAATCCCTTTCAAAATACCAGTGGTATTTTTCACAGAACTAGAACAAGTAATCCTAAAATTTGTATGGAACCATAAAAGACCGTGAGTAGCCAAAGCAATTTTGAGAAAGAAAAACAAAGTTGGAGGTATCACAATGTCAGATTTCAAGATATACTACAAAGCTGTAGTAATCAAAACAATATGGTATTGGCACAAAAATAGACAAATAGCTCAATGGAACAGAATGGAAAACCCAGAAATAAACCTATGCTTATATGGGCAATTAATCTATGACCAAAGAGGCAGGTATATACAATGGGGAAAAGACAGTCTCTTCAACAAATGGTGCTGGGAAAACTGGGCAGATACATGCAAAGAATGAAACTGGACCAATGTCTTATACCATACACAAACTCAAAATGGATTAAGGACCTAAATGTAAGACTTGAAATCATAAAACTCCTAAAAGAAAACATAAGCACTAATCTTCTAGATCTGTCTGCAAGGGAAACAAAAGCAAAAATAAATAATTGGGACTATTATCAAACTAAAAAGCTTTTGTGCAATGAAGGAAACCTGCAACAAAATGAAAAGGCAACCTACTGAATGAAAGAAGATATTTGCAAATGGTATATCCCATAAGGGGTTAATATCCAAAATATATAAAGAACCCATACAACTCAACACACACACAAACATCTGATCAAAAAATGGGCAGAGGACTTGAACAGACATTTCTCTGAAGCTGTACAGATGGCCAACAGACACATGAAAAGATGCTTAACATCACTAATCATCAGGAAAATGCAAATCAAAACCACAGTGAGATATCACCTTACCAGTCAGAATAACTGGTATCAAAAAGATAAGAAATAACAAGTGTTGTCAAGGATATGGAGAAAAGGAAACCCTGGTGCACTGCTGGCAGAAATGCAAATTGTTGTGGCCAGTATGGAAAACAGTATGGAGGTTCCTCAAAAAATTAAAAATAGAAACACAATATGACTCAGTAATTCCACTTCTGGGTGTTCACCCAAAGAAAACAAAAAACAGTAATTTGAAAAGAGACCTGCACCCCTATGTTTACTGCAGTATTATTTACAATATCTAAGATATGGAAGCAATAGATGAATGGATAAAGAATGGATATACATACACACACAATATGAGATATATATCTGTATATATATATATACATACACACATACATACATATACATGTATATACACACACACAATGGACTATCATTCAACCATAAAAAAGAATAAAATTTTGCCATTTGTGACAATATGGACGGACCTAAAAGGTATTATGCCAAGTGAAATAGGTCAGAGAAAGACAAATACCGTATGATTTCATTTATATGTGGAATCTAAAAAAACAGCACAAATGAATAAAGAAAAAACCAGAACAAAACAGAAAAACAAAATAGAAATAGACTCATAAATACAGAGGACAAACTGGTTGTTGCCAGAGGGGTGGTGGGTGGAGGAATGGGTGAAATGGGTGAAGGGGGTTAAGAGGTACAAATTTCCAGTTATAAAATAAGTCACAGAGATGAAAAGTACAGCATAGGGAATATAGTCAATATTACTATAATAACATTATATGGTGACAGATGGTGACTATACATCGTGGTGAGCATTTTGTAATCTATATAGTTATTGAATCACTATGTTGTACACCTGAAACTAATCTTGTATATCAACTATATTTCAATAAAATTTTAAAAACCCTGGAAAGAGAGTCACAGAGGTGGAAATGGTCAAGTGTAATGCAAAAGAGAATGAACACATAGGAGAGCAAAGAAGCTGCTATAGGATCCCTTAGAAGAGCGGGCAATTAAACAATGAGCTAGGAAAAACAACAATCTCTGTACATAAAGTTCTTGTTATACTTAATAAAAAATCAGATCAGAATAGAATTCAGTACAATGACAAAACTGGAAAACCACCTCAAGTATCAAGTTATATCACTTTGTTTTTCTTTTCCTGCTAATTAACATGGTGTTAAGATCAGGTTACCCAATAGAGCTGTGCTGAAGAAAAGAAACAATTTTATTGAGAGGCAATTAGTAGAAGAATGTCCCTTTCACAAAGCAGCCATGTCATTTATACACAGTGTAAATATAGAGTCAACAAATGCAAAAATCCATTCTTAACCCACTGGAACCCAAATATGCTGATGTCTATGAGCTACATTGGACACTTTTGTTCATTCTGAGTGATCCAAACCTTTAGGAAATTTCCAAGTCCTTCTATGGAATAACAAGGACATATTCAGTCATAAATGGAAATTTCTCATGAAAGTTAAGACATACTCTCTTAAGCTAAATGGGAAGAGGACCTTTTAGGGTATAACTCATTAAAAGTAGTTTAACAAAACCTTAACAGTGAAGAACAAGATGCCAGGGGGGCATTAGGCTGCACTAAATCTGCCAGGGAAATGGGATTAAACTAACCATATTTTGCCAGTGCAAAACTGTTTTTGACCACAAGGATTCCTAAAACAAAATCTTATTTCCAGAGTTAAGAATGGTACATTGGCAGCCAGAACAGGTGAACTTGTTCACTAAAAGCAAACACTACTTTGCCTTCTTGCTGGCGTTGGAGGATGAGTCATATATCCATCTCCCTTCCCCAGGTTTGCCTTAAGAATACACACACACACACACACACACATTTTGCAAGTCTTGAGGGAACAAGTGACAACTCAAATGATTGTAAAAGCATGAAAAGGACTTCCCAAAGTAGCCGAGGTGGTAAGGCATTGGAATCTAAGAAGCTTACCGTCTTGCCTCTAGCTCCCTTGGGTCCAGTTTCTCCTGGACCCCCAGGGTCCCCAATCTCACCCTAAATAAGTTCAGAAAAATACAATGGTAATTAAAATCAAAGAGCTATATCTCAATGTGTTTTTAAACTTATTCCAACATGAAGACATTTTTCATACACATTTTAATCTTCAACAGTCTTCTTTGAAGTGTCTGCCCTCTTTTCCCACCTCTCGCCTCTCCCTTCATTTTTATAGCTCTCTACACAGCACGCTGCAGCCTCACTGTTTGACTTCTGTCTCCCTCTCTCCAGCCACAACACAGCCTCCTCTGAGACATGAACACCGCCCTTTATTTTGTCCCCTGATCCTATCACAGGACCTGGCATTTACTGAACTCAGTAAATGTTTCTAGTAAAAGTGAAGGCATTAGTAGAAGGCATCATTACTAATGTATTATTGGAAGGTGACTTATAATCACACTGGAAAAACTGAGCCAGGTGAAGAATTCAGGTTTTGGTTTTCCTTACATTTTACTTTCCTTTGAGCAAAGAAGAAAATACATATGATAGAGGAGAAGGAGTCCATGTGAGAAGAAGAAAAATAAGGATGATTTCTTCCTTTACTTATGAATTTAAAAAGTAGAAATGAAATTTTTTAAAAAGCCTGCTTCTTTCTTCCCCCATTTTCCTCATAAAGGTTTCCTTTCTCTTTCTCTCTCTCTCTCTTTTTTTTAAGAGAGAGAACGTGTGCATGCAAGTGAGGAGGGGTGGGAGCAGAGGGAGAGAGAGAATCCCACACTGAGTGTGCAGCCCAATGCCGGGCTTGATCTCACAACCCCAAGATGACCTGAGCCAAGATCAAGACTTGGACGCCTAACTGATTGAGCTACCCAGGAGCCCCTGAAGCTTCTTTTAATTCATTTATAATTATTCTTCTATTGTCCTATGATACATTTCATAGCCTCAGGAGTATTTCTGATTGATCTCTGCTTAATACGAAGTACACAGTACCTTAGGTCCACTTTCTCCAGGAAATCCTTCTTGCCCCTATAATTGACAGTATGGAAAATTAATATACGCACACATCACCAAGGTAGGTTCGTGCTGACTTTAATCTTACCTGCTGCCTTATTTGGTTTTAGTATCTCTGAATCAAGAAAGGGCCAAAACAACTGAAAACAAAACTGTACAGCACAATTTGAGAAACTAGCTCCAATTCCTAAATTAAGCTATTTATACCAAAATATCATGACAACCTAGAAAAATGGATAAATGTGCACATCTCAGGATTTATATAAATCAGCTCTCCTTCTACCGAAGGCATTTGACAGGATAGCTGGCTAGATGGCAAAGTGTTTCTGAAACAGTCTTAACACATATATCAGTGGAGACAGGTGAGAAGCCTAGAACCTAAACTTGATCATTGGTTTTCCAGTCCTCTGTTTACCTTACTTAGTCCACGGACTATTATTGAAGACATCTGACAATCTCCCCATTTGATGAAAAAAAAGTTTATTTAAAATAAAGTTTAGTTTCTATTACAAGTAGTATCTCCTCAAACATATATAAAATACAAAAGAATAGAAAGAAGAAAAATCATCTAAAATCGCACTACCCAGAACCATTATAAATGTTTTATCATATTTTCTTTAAGCTCTTCAAAATGCATTTTTAGCACAATTGGGATAAATATTCTTGATTTTTTTTATATCCTGATTTTTTACTTGATTGTGTCACATAATTTCTTTACATGATTATAAACTCCATAAAAATTCATTTTAAAGAGTGGCTAATATTCTAGTGCTATAAGCTACTTAATATTTCCCTTTATCAGATACTGAGATTTTCAATTAATTCTCTATTCTAAAGAGAAATTTCACTGGAAATGTCTCATTCATTAGTAATTTCTTTTTTCAAAAAAAGTTTAGCTTTTTGGGGTTTGTTTATCCTTCCAGACGGCCTCTTGCAATATTCCTAGTGGGATTTCACTTGGAATTAAATCAATCCTTTATAATCTTTTAGACTTTCCAACAAGAATTTGGATGTCTTCATTTAGTGAAGTTTTATATTTCAGTCATTTTTTTGTCCTAGGTCTCAAACATTTTGCAGAAAGGATATTCTTAACTCTATTATGTTTTTTGTGGGTATTGTTATTATGGTTTCTAAGTGGTAATTGTTAGTATATAGGAATCACTGGTTTTGTAAATTTATCTACCTTACTTCCAGACACTTAAATATTCAAAATATAAAGTTATAATTCTGAAATGAAGTTAAAAGTTTTTATTTTTGAGTTATTGCTTGGCCCAATGCATTTAGAAAAACCCTGTAAAACCTCTTACTAATGGTTAAACATATTAAGAAGAGAACAAACTTTGCAATGCCTCCCTAAGTAAACCCAAGCACAGAGCTGCTAAGAATATAAATGCACTGTTCGGCCGGAACAAGTCAGGCCCTGGCTGCACATCTTTGCAAAGGAACAGAAAATTATTTTCAAGTTTCAGTTGTTGCCTGCACCTTAAGCCATCAAATTGTTTTTTCTTTTACCACATCCTCCAAGGGATATCAACAAATAAATTATCAAAATCTACCTCTAAATGTCCAAGACTGCCCTAGTCACTGCCTATTCTCCTCTTAAATATGGCAAAAAAAAAAAAAAAAAAAAAAAGACCAGCAAACTCAAAACAAGCAACAAAAAATAAATCGAAATGCCCAGCTTCCAGTCATGTGTCTTACCTTTGCTCCTTTACTTCCAATGCTACCATAACCTGGGTTGCCATCACCACCCTGTAAACAAAGGCATTAATTACAAATATCCCAGACTACAAATTGGAGACAGGCTTACTCACACAAGAACAAAACACCCAGTTTTTTGGCTTGATTAGGAGAAAGTAGGAAGCAGGATTCTCACTCTGGGGCTGGCCACGAACATTTGGTGATAATGGTACTAAAGGCATCTCTCAGTGACAGATATCGACCGTGCACTGTCCCTGAGGCTCACTTGTATCATCTGTAAAATGGGACTAAAAATTATCACCACTCATGGTATTATTATGAAGACGGAATGGGAAAATTTCAGGCATACAGTAATCTCAATAAAAAGAGGCAGTGGTGTTAGCTCTTCTGTTTGACGCCTGTATTTTAATACCTTAGCTCTAATCCATTTTCAGTTTTCTAGATGAGAATAAGACCTCCTAAATGCAGTGGCTACTGTCGGACCCTGGCAGAAGGTCTTTGTGAGAAGTCCTGAGCCCTGGGGGAGTGTGGGCTGGGTTTCTGATGAATACGTTCTGATGGGAGGAAAGAATGGAAGAAGGGTTATGGGGATGCTAAAGACAAGTTTTGTCCAATTTATCATTTGGCTTCAAAAGCATCCCTGTCGGGATGTTTTGTACCTGGGAAATTTGGCCAAGGAACTAATCCAAGTTGAGGATAATATCCCAATTTCCAGAAAGCTATCAGGCTAGACTGGGGTGGTATCCTTAATGCACATGGGATATCTGTTGAACTAAAAGATTCCAAGGGCCAGGTCAAAAGTAGTGATCCAATACAAACCGGCAAGCCTCGAGGACCCAGGAGGCCAATAGCTCCTTTTTCTCCCAAATCTCCAGGTTCTCCCTGTCAAACAGAACAACGAAACATATCCTCATTAGTTTGTTGTTGCTTTTTTTCTTTTGTAAAGGAAACTGAAAGTGATGGTACTAAGACAACAGTTAGTTATACAACTGCATCCATGTGTATCACACAGAGTGACAATACATTTGTCGTCAGGACTGCGAGTTGTATAAGTAGTGTAAGGAATTGCTGTTGTTGGCCAGTGAGGTCTCCTCCATTGATGACTGAAGCCCCAGCAAGTCCGATGCATTGTTTTTTTGTTTTGTTTTTTTTTTGTTTTTTTTTTTAAGATTTTATTTATTTATTTGACAGAGAGACACAGCGAGAGAGGGAACACAAGCAGGGGGAGTGAGAGAGGGAGAAGCAGGCTTCCTGCGGAGCAGGGAGCCCGATGCGGGGCTTGATCCCAGGACCCTGGGATCATGACCTGAGCTGAAGGCAGTCGCTTAACCAACTGAGCCACCCAGGCGCCCAAGTCTGATGCATTGTTTAGTGCAAGCTGCCATCTTGGCAGCTCAGTGCCATGAACCACACCCTTGGAAATGTCTTCACATGAGTCAAAGAGGAAGCTCTGTACTGTTTAAAAATATTAACAAAACGGTTTCCAAGATGATCCGATCAAATCATCTGGCTGCCGCAAAAACAACAGACTTACTAATCTAGTTTGAAATGCTAATCAACATAACCAAGGTAGCACGACATCCATGGCAATAGTTTCTGACTTCTGACTAATAGAACATCTACCGTGGGTTATAAATCAATCTCAGTATTATGTTGAGTCAAAGCCAGCTACCTGGGAAATTTAAAGTTAACACAGCTTTAGAGAAGAAGGTTAACTCCTTTAAAAAAAAAAAAAACCTTAAAATTTTAGATTTTAGATTTATAGAAATTTTAAAGTAGTACAGAGAGTTCCTATACACTCAATATCTAGCTTCCCCTATTGTTAACATTGTATTAGTTACATTAGTAGGGCACATTTATCACAAGGCATACATGAATATTAATTCATTATTATTATTATTATTACTATTTTTTAAGGATTTTATTTATTTATTTGAGAAAGAGAATGAGACAGAGAGAGAGAGATCATGAGAGGGGGGAGGGTCAGAGGGAAAAGCAGACTCCCTGCTGAGCAGGGAGCCCAATGCGGGACTCCAGGATCATGACCTGAGCCGAAGGCAGTCGCTTAACCAACTGAGCCACCCAGGCGCCCTTGATTCATTATTATTAACTAAAGCTCATACTTTATTCAGATTTTTTTTTTAAGTTTTTATCTAATATCCCTTTTCTGTTCCAGGGTCCTATCCAGGATACCATATCATGCTCCTTAAGCCCTTTTAGACTGTGACACAGTTTATCAGATTTTCCTTGTTTTTGATGACCTTGACAGTTGTGAGGAGTACTGCTCAGATATTCTGTAAGATGTCCCTCGTTTGGAGTTTTTCTCATGATTAAGTTGGGTTTTATGAGTTTTGGGGGTAAAGACCACAGAGGTAAAGTGCCATTCTCAGCACATATCAAGAGAACATACTATCAACATGGCTATCATTTTTGATGTTAACCTTGACCATTTGGCTGAGGTAGTGTTGGTCAAGTTTCTCCACTGTCTAGTTATTCCCCCCCGCCCTTCCCATAATGTACTCTTTGGAAGAAGGAGTGTAGAAGTGTGTGCAGCCCATATTTAAGGAGTGGGAGTCTTAACTCATTTTTAAGGATAGAAGGCCAACCCAGTTAAGTGTGAAAAGTGCAAATGGACAAATGTCCATCAGCATTGAACTCTGAGAGTAAAATAGAATAGGGTTCCATGGACGGGAAGCAGAAGATCACCTTCCCTGGTATCTTTCTTTCAGGGAAGTGACTCTCAAAGTATGCTCTGGAGGCCACCTGCCTCATGATTACCTCAGGTCCACACGAAAACAAAATTCCTGGCCCCCACTGGTATAGAATCTGGTAATGCAGCCCAAGAATAGGCCTTCTTAAAATAAGCTTCTCAGCTGAATCTTATACACAGTGAAATTTGAGAACATCTGCTTTAAGGTAGGGAAATAAGGGAAGCCATATGGCATGTCCAGGGTCACTTTGTTATTGGTACAGCCAGGCACTGAGCTCAGGATTAATTGCTGAGTTGCTTGCCTTCCTGGGAAGTTGAGCTTATTGGAATAAGGTAGGAATAAGTGTTTGGGGGCTCATCTCAGTTAACAATGAATCTCGAGGACTCAATTTATCCTGGGACTTTCCAAAGGATTTGGGCTTGCTTTGAGGGTACTTATTTCCAAATTCTTGCCCCTTCCCCTTTAAAAGTCCCTCTTATTAATAATGATCTTTTTTTTTTTTTTAAAGATTTTATTTATTTATTTGACAGAGAGAGACACAGCAAGAGAGGGAACACAAGCAGTGAGAGTAGGAGAGGGAGAAGCAGGCTTCCCGCTAAGCAGGGAGCCCGATGCAGGGCTCGATCTCAGGACCGGGAGATGATGACCTGAGCCGAAGGTAGATGCTTAACGACTGAGCCACCCAGGTGCCCTATTAATAATGATTTTTTTTTTAAGATTTTATTTATTTATTTGAGAGAGAGAGAATGAGAGACAGAGAGCACGAGAGGGAGGAGGGTCAGAGGGAGAAGCAGACTCCCTGCCGAGCAGGGAGCCCGATGCGGGACTCGATCCCGGGACTCCAGGATCATGACCTGAGCCGAAGGCAGTCGCTCAACCAACTGAGCCACCCAGGCGCCCCTTAATAATGATCTTTTTGGCACAACTACCCTGCTCCTATCTCCTTCTACACTCTCACCTATAATTGGCCCTAGGAGCCCTCCATTCCGGCCTACCTCTCTCCTGATTCCTTCTGTCACACCCTTTGGAGTGCTTTCATTTCATAAGCAAACCTTCTCTATGCATCCATGCCATCTGCACACAGACATACATCCTTCCCCACTATAAGATAAATTTGGTTCTCATCAGTGACACCACTTCTCCTGCAGCCTTCTTGAGGCCAAGAAGGCAGCAATTGCCTCTGTTCCAAACTTTCCTTTTCAGACTACTATTGCTAAAGAGCATGCTCTAGGAATCCTTTCTTGTTGGAGTTGATTATCCCTGTTTTCCATGTATCTCATTTCACCCTCCAGTCAATGGTCCTTGCAACTCAACTGCAGGCCTCCATCATTTCAGTCCTTCTTAGCAGATCTTCATTACAAAGCTAGCCCCTCTTCTCATGCCCTCATTCTCATCCTCTGTGTCAAGAAGTTTCTCCATTAATTATCTACTCTGACATCTTCAACCTTCTTCCTTCTGTTTTTGTCTTCTCTGCTCAGACACATACTATACAGTCCCTCCTATCATTGAAAACAAATACCCAGCTTCAATCTGCCTTAGACTGGTAGTTAATGTCTTCCCCAAGCCTAGCTTCTTCAAAGAGTAGTTTATAGCCCTGAATCCATTTCTTGCTCACCAACACATTATTTAGTCCTTTGTAGGCTGTCTTCCTTTCTTTCTTTCCCTCTCAAATGCTACATTTTTGAAAATATTCTTTGAAGCATCTTAGCCACCAGAGGCAATGGCTTCTTCATTCCCCCTCCCTTATCTGTTCTGCACCAGCTGATACATTTGACCTCTCATTCCTCAACTCTTCTCAGCATCCAGTATCAATTTCTTTCTTTCCCCTCTTTTCTAATAATTCACTGTCTCTTCTTACCCTTCTTATAAATAGACACCACCAAGAATTTTTTTAAAACTCCAAATGCCTCTGAAACTGCATCTCCAACCAGCCCTAAACTCTTTCCTCTATTCCCCAAAACAAGTGGTTCCCTTCATTCTTTCTCATGACTTTCCTACTTCTGGGATGGTACTATGGCGTGAGCCAAGCTACTCATGCTGTTTGACAAGGTCCAAGTGTGGGGGACGATCCTGAAAACAGGAGACTCCACAGCTGGCTCCTGCTATTCTCTTTCATTTTGTTTATGGCAATCTTTATAATTGTGGGAATATTTCTGGGATTTCATGATAAAGTGACTACTCATCTTAGTTACGCCTATCTAAGCAATCATAATGAAACTAATTCCACGAAGAATTAGTTTCTATAGAACAAAATAACAAGACGGTCACGCTCTGTCTAGCACCTTTCTCTTTGCTTACTGTTTTTTAGTTTTAGTGAAAGTCAATAAGCGGAAATCAATAAAGGTCATGTTAATCATTACAAAGGAAAAATGAAAGAAGGCTATGGCTGTAATCCAGAAAATGATCTAAGATTTGGAGAAACAAAAGTGTCCTAACATATAAATAAAGTTCCTCCGAGGCTGTCAGGAGGAGATGCTTGCAGCCTGGTCCTGTGTCTGCGTCTCCTCGTTCGCCGACGCTGTCCTTTCCTACGAGAGACCCACCCCGGCTGGAGCTGGACTCCGGCTGTACTACACTCATGCCAGAAGTCCACAAATCATGTAACCCTCTTCTCTCTACCTTAGTTCCCTACTAGAAGAGTCCTCCAGAATCATCATGAGCCCCTCCTATGCTCACCCTGTTAAGTCATCCATTTGCTGCTTGTCTTGGAGACTGTTAGAACATACCCACTTGTCTCCTAGCGGCCAATCCCTCAGTCTTCAAAATATCTCTACACTGAGTAGCATATTCAAAATCCTCCCAAGTCTGGCTGTGTTCAGATACTCCATTAAAAACATTGTAAACAGCACTGTACTGGGCCACTTAATAAAGCGAGTGACCACAGACATTTTTTATGTGCCTATGAGAGAGGATAATTTTTTTTCCCCCAAATACCCACACCCAGGATTTTCCAACCCTGTGCTTTCCTTCACATAATTTCTTCTCTCTGAAATCCTCCATGCCTCCTCTCTGCTTGCCAAAGTCTTTCTTATCTTCTAGGGTCTGCTGCAAGTCTGGATCCTCTATCATGTTTCTTTCCCCAGTCCAGAAATACTTCACTAATACTATATTTAAACCTCCATTCTCAGACCCATATCCTGGTCTACTTTATGTTATAGATTATTGTCTTGAAAATATTCTTAATTCTGTGGGGATTGATTCCATGTCATGTCTATTATACGATCCAGAAATTCTTTCATTAAGCAAATATTTACGAAGCAATTATGTGCCAGGAACCCTTCAAAGTACTAGGGATGCATCAGTGAGCAAACAGTCAAAGATCTCTACTCTCCTGAAGCGGAGTTTCTAATCCAACAGAATACCAGTAGAGTGAATTTGTTTTAAAAGGTGTTCAGCAAAGGTTTGTATTCATGGAGGAAACAAAGAAGAAAAGAGAGGAGGGGAGGGAAGAAGAGAGGGGCAAAGGAAGGCCTGCCCCAGAACAGTCTTCTTTCCCTGAGGTCCCCCTGGCTAAGATTGGGTGTAGCCCCTCATGAAATTATGCTGAGCTGGAATCCTTGACCTCATTGTGGTCCACACCCACATCCTTAGATGTTGCTGGCTCTGTAAGAATCAACCCAGGGGTAGGGGCAATAAGACATTCTCCTTTGTGTTGAAAGGGCTCTGGCTAACACAACCAGACACACTTACTTTGAGGAGAAAACCTTAACTTTGGTGGGCATAAAGAATGTGACCTACTTTATTTCCTTGGCTTCCCAAATGGCCTGGACTCCCTGCTTCTCCTCCTGGTCCTGGAGGCCCCTGAAACAAAACAAGGATTGCAAATATAGCAGAACATAAAGCAACTTTCCCCTAAAGCCTTTGTGTCTCTTCTAAGAGGAAAATGAACCACAGATGGGAAAAGAGTTATGGCTTTATTGATTTCTGCTCTGGAAAAAAGTATCACAGCTGTCAAATAAAAACTAGTAAATGAAAGAAAATTAATAAAGTAATTCATGCCAGATGTGGCCTAAAATGATCATGCTTTCTTTTGAATCTTCTTTTCCAAAGAGATTTTACATTCTCACTGTTTTGCTTTTACAGCAGATGTTGCTAAAATGTCTGTCTAACATTTAAAGAAGGCATTCCAAGTGACATTTGCCTTTAACTGTATTCTGTCTGGTTCCTTGCTTTTGTAGAAAGCATTTTTTAAGGTAAACTTATATTTATTTGCAAATAATACAATTTGTTCAATAGAAAGCTCAAGAAACATCACCAAAATAATTAGCATTAACAACAAGATATGTTCAGGTGTACCGGATAAATATTCTGAAATAGTTTTCTCTTTCCTACTGATAAGTTAGAAAAGTAAATGTACATAAATTCCCACTTACCATTAGAAGAAAAACACCTGTGAATATGTAGAATTTAATAAGAAAGATACAAGACCTATATAAAGAAAGCTTTAAGATCTTACTGAAGAATATAACAAAAGTTAAACAGAGGAATAAACATACCACACATCTATATGGAAAATCTATTTGATATATTAGAAGTCTCTTTAATGTTCTAGAAAGCATGTCTTATTGGGATAGCTTTAGAGCTGAACATTTAAAAATCCCAATTCAGAGACAGCCCAACTGCTTCCCTATGTTATCAACACTCGGGATCAGATTTTTCCTTCTGTTGCCATATCCAAACATATGCCATCCAAACATATGGCAACAGAAATCTCCTTTGGTTAAAATGTTTACATAGGTACTTGTAAATAATCCCAGCACCACTGAATTTAAATCATTTTCAGATTTTTTTTTGGCCATGATTACTGTAATTAAAAAATAAATAAATAAACCAAATCTGTGTAGTAAGCATGATACTTAGCAAATTTTATTCAGAAAAAAAATTATGACATTAGCCTTTTATCTTTAAAAAATTAAAAATGTAGTAAGTTGGACATAAAAATTTCCTAATAGGAAAGACTGTTGAACAGTATATTGGTCACTTAGGGAAGATAATAATGATCTTTCTACAACCTTCCATTTTTTTCCTCTCCCTTCTTTATCTCAAAAGAAGAATCTCAATTTCTTCACCTTCCATAGCTCTCAACCCTTTCCCTTCAAACTCTCAATTCCACCAGTGCATGGGGCTAGCTCCCATGACCTTCAAATTCAATCCAATTAGACTCTTTTCTGTTCTCACCTTATTTGAGTTTGATCATGTATTCTTTGAAACTTTTCCATTAATTTCTCTAACACCATGGACTTCCTGGTCCCTCTCTGGTCTCTTCTCCATTTGCCTCTTAAATTTCCATGTACTCTGAGGCTCCATCCTTGGACCTTATTTTTTCACTTAATTCCTTCTTCCTGAGTGACACCCCTATAGATTCACATACCACTTTACAAAATAACTCCTAAATAGATGGATCTCCTGCCCAAACCACTCAACTAAATGCCAGACTCATATATTAAAATGTCTAATGGATATCCCATAGGAACTGATTACCAAAGATAATTATATTTACTGTAAGTCATGCTTAGTTTCATATTCTCTTTATTAAGGAGTGGTGTCACCCCTTTCCTCCCTGAAACCTAAGCTGGAAACATAGGAATCATCCTATCCCCTCCCTTAGCTCATCTCTCAAAACCTATCAGTTACAAGTCCTACAGATTCTATTTCCTTTCTGTACCCATCTCTCTTCCACTATCACCTACCTTCTCTCTTCCATTCATATTGCTATCACCTACCTTCAGGCCTTCCTGCTTTCCGTCTAAATTCCTGGATTCCCTGACTGTAGCCTGGCCTCTCTCAAATCTATTATTCTCTCCTTTTCCCTTTTGATTTAAAATGTCTGGTTGATGCTGCCACTTTTTATGAAATTCTGAATTCTGAGTAGCTTTCAGAATAAAGTTGATGGTCTTTATTTATTAATATATAAAATCCCTCAAAATGTTGGTATTGCAGGTCTCCATAGTCATCTGGGACTACTTCAATCACTGTATGTTTATGCTCAAACCATCTGAAGTCACCAAATACTTCTTGTTGTCTTAGGTCTTCACACTTGTGCAAGTTCTTCCCTTAGTTGGTCCATTTTTCTGTCTGGAGGGAGATACAATCTCCCTCTTGTGAAAATCTTACTTTTAGCATCACTGTTTCAAGAATACCCGAACCCCCTGGCTCTACTGGGTCTCACAACTGTCCCACAGATTCCTCTACTCTGTATGTAATTGTTCATTTCTTTCTTTCTCTCATCTTCTAGAAACTATCCTTGAAGGAAGGGGCATGCCCAATTGGCTTCCTATCTCTGGAATTTAGTAAATATCTAGAACCCATCAATCCACCCATCCATTCATCTAGCTATCCACACACCTATCCAGGAATAGCCCCCAAGAAGGATGAAATGATGTGTTTGATTCGATTTTCCATATATTTTTTTCTGTACTTCACAGAAGGATAAAGTAGAAAGATTTCAACTGTCTTGACAATAAGGGGCAAATTGGAAATCTTGCCTAGGAGCTCACTTTCTGGGCTTCCTTCAGACATAATGAACTCTGAGATGAAGGAGATTTCGGGGAGATTACCTTATGTGTAGTCACTTCAAGCACACACAACACAATGAGAGATTATCCTATTTGAAAGCCCTCCAAAATGGAAGATTTCTTGGATGGATGGATGCATACATGCAGACAGAGCATGGTCATCAGAACATCAGAAAACCTGATTCTATTTCCTGTGCAGGACCACACAAAATACCAGACTGGTGTTTGTGACTCCTTGAATGGGCCTCAAGCTTCAGTGAATTGTTACCCGTATATATTAACTACTCCAATACCGCTGGTTGTACAGGGGACCATATATTTAAAGGAAAGATGAAAAAACTCCCTGCCACCCCAAGATATCAAAGAGTCAAAAAATTGCTTTGATTTGAGGGCAAGAGCATCTATGGAATATAAACAGAAGATTACGGCATTTAAAGGAAAAGGGCACCAGCTAGAGGTGAAATCTTTATTGGCTTTGTTGTAATGGCAGCCTTTTATTGAGCATTTATTTTGTGCAAAGCACTATGCTAAGAAGTATATATTGACACTATACAGACTTTCTCAATCACAGTGAGATACATATTATCGACACCGTTGTTTACCAATAAAAATCAGATTGTCAAAGCATTTAACTCCATATCACCATTAATAGGAGGGTAAGATGGGAACCAAGCCTGATTCTGACTCTACACTGAACTCCTGGCCACTCTTCCTGCTGTTTTGAGGCCTGTATCTGGGACAGGATTCCCAAACTCTACTAATCATGCACCACCTGAGACTGGAGTTTTAAAAATGTGAATCTGCAAACTTGATGCAGGAGGCTGGGGCCAGATCTACCCTCCACTCTTGGGACTTGGGCTGGGGGTCTTTTGCTCATGTTTAGACTCTGCCACAGAGTCTTCTGCAATCACAACTGCTTAATACAAGTTTTAAGTGATGATAGAAAGGAGATGTTTAGAGTTTAAATGGTTTTTTTTTTAATGTTTTCTATATTTTTAATTTTTTTTGAAGATTTTATTTATTTGAGAGAGAATGAGATAGAGATAGAGCATGAGATGGGGGAGGGTCAGAGGGAGCAGCAGACTCCCTGCCGAGCAGGGAGTCCGATGCGGGACTCGATCCCGGAACTCCAGGATCATGACCTGAGCCGAAGGCAGTCGCTTAACCAACTGAGCCACCCAGGCGTCCCTAGAGTTTAAATGTTTTTAAAAACTGTCCTTAGATAGCATCTTATCAGAAAGGATCACAGTAGGAGTTTGGGATTAATGGCTGGAGCAGTGCCAAGGACACTTCGACTTTGGATGGAATATGGCTGGGGAGGTGCAAGAGGTTCAGGTTCTTCTCGTGTTTAAAAGGAATCCTGTCATTTATTTTCATGGGGGTAAAACGCTGCCTACACTGACAATCAGTAAATTGTCAGGCTGGGCTGGAGCCACCCAAGGAGATTAAACGCTCAGCATCTTTAGGAGTCAGATATGAGCTAATTCTGAGAAAATAAAAGTCAAGAGGCCAGCAAGTGGTGGGCTAATGCAAGAACAAAACCCAAGATACCTGAGATGTTGATCTTGACAGTGCTAGTCTAAGACACAGCCTCTAACCTCAACTTCTAATCCATCATGCATCCTATACCCCATCCATGTTGAACCACTTATGGTTCCCCAACTCACTTTGATATCTCTTTTTAGAATACCTGGATCCTTTTCCCAGATGCCTGCCTCTCCCTTGGTCACCTGGAAAACACCTCCTTATCTTGCAAAAGCTAAAACATTCTTCTCCTGCTCTAATGCCATCCTTGCTCCCACAACTCTACCCTGGGTGTAATTCCGTTTGGGCATTTAGTACATCACATCTCAACTATTTGTTTGCGTTGGTGTCCTTTATGAGATTGGGAGCATGTCCTTTTTTTTCTTTAAGAGCTGTTATTTATTTGAGAGGGAGAGAGAGAGCGAGTGTGCATGTAAAAGCAGGGGGAGGGAGAAGCAGACTTCCCACTGTGCAGGGAGCCCAATGACGACGCCAACACTGGGGCTGGATCCCAGGATGCTGGGATCGTGACCTGAGCTGAAGGCAGAAGCTTAACAGACTGAGCCACCCAAGTGCCTCGGGAGCAGTCCTTTTATCCTACCATAGGATCCTTCTATATATCCTACTATATAGGACCTACACACAGGAAGCACTCAGCAAATATTTGAGTAAAAGGAATGGTTGGTGGATCATCCAACCTACATTAGGCAGAATGATGAAATCCAATCATTGCAGTTCAGATTACATATTGTTATATTGTTGTTATTATTATCATGGCCTTCCTTGGATTAGAGACTCTCATGCTTTGGGCATAAAATGTCCCTGCTAAATTAAGTAATACTGGTGCAATATAGTAGTAATAAACACTTACATAGTGCTTACTATACTGCAGGCACTGTTCTAAGAACCTACCTATATTAAACCATTTAATTTTCACCTGATGAGGTAGCTCCTATTATCATCCTTATTTTACAGCAGAGAAAATTGAGGCACAGAGAGGTTAAATAAATTACCCAAGGCCACACAGCTAGGAAGGTACAAACCTTGCAATCAAACCCAGGCAGCCTGGTTTTAGGCACTATGCCCTTGACCACTATATTATGCTTTGTAAAGATGACAACAGAAATTCTACTTTGCGTCCCAAATTTGCATGGAATAATTCCAACATTTCTTGATATTGCATGTGACATTAGTGATTATTTCACTAAAAACAACTAAGAATAATTCCAGCACTAACTTGAATTAGTATGTATGTCTGATTTTCCATTCCTTTTCTAGGCATGATTATATTAGTGCAGTACCCTAGGGTAAACCAAACAAGAAGGGAACAAAAGAAGGTATAAAAGAATATGCCATTCTTTTCAAAGTTATACCTTCCTTTTCACTGTGCCATGGACTATATTTCTTTCATGTCATAGCCATATACTTGGTTGGATTAGCACATTTTGATTTATGCAGAATGCCCCAACACTGCATAAATTAATAAGCCTTCAGAACACTGTCAACAGAAATCACATGCCTTTTTCTAAATGTATAGCCTAAGAAAAAATTGAAGTCTTCAATTAAAAAACACTCCTGTGAGGCGTGCCTGGTGGCTCAGTTGGTTAAGCATCTGACTCTTGATATCAGCTCAGGTCTTCATCTCAGGGTCGTGAGTTCAAGCCCCATGATGGGCTCCATGCTGGGCATGAGCTTACTTAAACAAAATGAAACAAAAACACTCCTGTTATTTCACCTAAGTGGCTGGTTCTTAAGCCTATGTCAGTAGATTTATAGAGCCAATAAAGAACGACGCTCTCTTATATATCTGATTGTGTTGGTCTCCCATGGTTTTCCTTTGGAAACAACAATTTTGAGATCCCATTCATCATGTCCTGAATATAGAAAATTCTACCTATCTTTGAACTAGCACTTTCACTGTGTTGACAAGGGTATTTCAAGAAAAGCAAGCAAAGAAAGAAAACCATGATTTCTAGCCAGATAAATAGAAGAGGGAGAGAGAAGTGGTGCCTTTTGACTAATGCTGGCAATGCCAAGAGGTTGAATGATTTATAACTCTAACCAATCTTGCCAAAGCAAGATTAAAGGGGTCTCAGACAAGTACATTATAGGGCAAATGGAATAACTTATTTAGCAGCCACTTGGATACAATTTTGGATTCTAGAAGAAGGGAATTACCAAGTTCTTTGGATTTCAACCCATCTACATCTCAATATTTTATATAAACAGATGAGATAATCACCTGATATGTTTCCCTTGGCATTTGCTGGGTTTTTAATCCCAACTAGTGGTGCCAGCAAGTTTTTAATGATTCAAGGATGTGAATACAAAACCGTTACTTTTCATCAATTTAGTTCTACAATGAAATTTTTAAAGTTTTCATGCTGTTTGAAGGAGTACATTCATCAAACTGGGAACAAATATCCTCATGAGCAGTAATTAATATGCTTTAAAATACTGTATCATGAGATACAGGTTTATGCAAATAGCGTCTTAAATATTTTCACGATGAGCACATTCACTTAAGTGTTGGACCACTGCCTAATGGACACAAAGTAATGGATTCACTTTATCCCATAAGTCAAGTGCAAATCCCAATTGTGTCTCATTCATTCATTTACTAATTGATTCATTATATAAATAAATGTTGAGCTCTACTGTGTGGCAGCCCTGTTATTCTAGGCTCTGGGATATAGTATAAGCAAAACAAAGTTCTGACCCTCAGGGAGACAAAAAGCTAAACAAATATAATAGCAATTAGGCAATGGCCAGATCATGTAGGGACCTGCTACTCAAAGTGTGGTCTGGGAATGAGCAGCATCAGTACTGCCTGGAAGCTCATTGCAAGTGTAGAACCTCAGGCCCCACCCCAGACCTACTGATCGGAATCAGCACTTTAACAAGTTGTCCTGGTGATTCTCAGGGACTTTGACGTTGGAGAAGCGATGTGGGAGTCAGTCCCAACACTGGGTGTGTCTATTAGAATTGCCTGGGGAGAATTTAAAGTTACTGATACCCTGGCCTCACCTTCAGAGATTCTGATTTAAATGGTCTGGGGAGGATTCCAGGTGGTGGAGTGTTTTATAATCTTCCCAGGAGATTATCATGTGTAACTAGGTTGAGGAGCACTGAAGAAAGTTGTATTCTGGGTGCGATGGGAAGCCCCTGAGGAGATCAGGGGAGTGGCATGACCTGATTTCTACAGAGGAGAAATTCTTAACCTCACAGTGATGGTTGAGGTGTTGAGGCAAAGCGGACTAGAAGCTATCTTCCACCTCTGCGTCTGATAGAAAGACAGCCCACTCTGCAAGGTAGGGACCACAATGTGATGTGGCCATCACATTGAACACTGAACTCAAAACTTTGCTGGTTCACAGGCAGTAAATACTCCTTCTGCAGAAAAGAAACCGCAAGGACATCCATATTAAAGCCAGGATCAGAGCCAGATGCAGTCACTTTCTCTCATTACATACCTGAGGACCTTTACTTCCCAGACCTCCTTTCTCGCCTTTCATACCAGTCTCTCCTCTGGGACCCTACATACAGAGCACACAGAGAATTAAAGCATTATTTTCTTTCTAAAAGAGAACACTTGAATATTAACTTGAATATTAAAGATGGACATGATAAGTCAGTCACATGGACATAAACTGGAAAGAGAACTCCATTCATGCCCTTGGCTCTGTCTTGATCTGTGAGTTGCCCTTCTGTGTGTGTATATAAGGGTCCAATTTGCAATTTAGGCAGTTGGGGGCATTTATAGTCGACTGAATAAATACTGAACTGTTGAATTTTTCAGTATTGCTTTCTAATTATCCTAAGCATCTTTAGACTCCAAATGCATATATTTCTTATGTGATAAAGAGAATGATCCTTAATTACATAATCTGAAACTGAAATATTAAAATGAATTTTCTATTCAATAACCACACTGAAGACTGGTCACAAGATATAGCATGTGGTAAGATGAAATCTGGATATTTCTACTTCTAGAATATTATGTTGCCTATTAATTGTGGCCTCTGTATATTAGGCAGAGAAACCTTCATGTTGTGTTTGGTTTTTCCATCTCCTTTTAAATTATGTCATGAAGAAAGTCTGTAAAGTGGAAGAAGGGATGTTGTCGTATTATTTGTTTAGCATGAAATAAAACCAGCCAATCCATTGAAATGCTTCCCCACAACCCCAGTGGCAAATATTTCTCACTTGAAGATAAGAAAAGTGAACCTTCCCCAGCTGGCAAGTAAAACAAAAAAAAAAAGCAGCCAAGCTCAAAAGAGATAGAGGTCCAAGGAGGCAGACTGTTTACTGCTCTGAAGTCTTGGTAAAAATGTGAACACAATTTCTTATCTGACATCTAAGGATATTTTGCCCAACTTCCATGCACCAAGCTGCCAATACATAATAGTTAATTTTTTCTTTAACTATGTGGATTAAAACTTTGAAAAATTATAGAAACTTTGCTTGTCCTGCATGTGCCAAACAGCAAAATTGTTTCTCAAGATTTCAAAACAAAGTTTGGAGAGAAAAAAATATGTTCTAAACTTTCTATAGTCTGACCTCCTTTCCTTCATCTTAGCATTTTCTAGGACTTCCTTTCCGTTCTCAGTATTATTCCAGGCTACATTTTGCTCTTTCTGGCACATGCTTCTTTCCCTTCATGTGATCAGTGTAAGAGCCAACCATGGCTTATTCCTTGCAAAGGAAAATGTGCTGGAGGCAGCTCTCTGGGGAAGTGAGCAAGAAGGTAGGCTGAGTGCCACACTATAGATCACCCCGCTGAAGACTTCAGCTGTATTTGGAACAATTCTTTCCTAGAGTAGAGCCAGTTTTTCTACCACACAGGCGTCCAGATATGTAACACTGAGTTCTTACTATACTACATTGACCAAAATTCATAGTTTTGAGGCTCAACATTTTCTTTGGCTTGAGGTCTCCCCTAGAATATCCTAGCTAGCTTGAACTCATTGCACGTCCCTGCATGTTCATTCCCTTTTCACCCCCTGATGAGACAAAACTTAGATAAAGGAGACCAAATTCTGGACAAGACTATGTTGCTTCCTTACTTTATTTCCTGAAAACACTTAACAAACATCTGTATTTCTGCAAAGAGGTTTGAGGGATTCCATCAAGACTCCAGATTCTTCTTTATGTTCTCAAACCCTGATTAGTTCTGATATGTACCTGAGGGCCCTTAAGTCCCCATGAGCCTTCAAGTCCATCTGGGCCTGGGATGCCTGTTTTCCCCTGTGGTGAGAGAATCAACCTGTTAGCACTGTTTCCTGAGAATTTTGTCTCCTTTATGTACAAGATTATATATTTTCAATCACAATGTCAGTGCAGGATCTTTGGCAAAAATATGAAAAATAAAGAAATAAAAATTTCTATAATCTCATCAAGCAGAGATAACCAGTTACTATGTTGGTATATTTGCTTTCAAGTCTTTATACATGTGCACACTCACACACTCTTTTTTTTTTTTTCCTGTAATGTTTGTAATATATCTGACTTGGGCATTTGGCCTGAAAAAACTAACAGTTTACTTTACGTTTTGTTCAAAAATCTCCAGACATCTTACAACATTATATTTACATTCAAATAGATTAAATATCTATGGATCAAAAGTTGAGAGTATCTTCACATTGCCTTTGAACTCTGACAGAGATAAGAAGTCCAAAGAAGAGGAAGGATTAAAAGGTGTAATTTAGTCAACTATTGGGATAGCCTAAAGTTTATGCCCCAGTTGTTACACAGATGTGATTAAATGTCCCTTGCTAATTGCCTTTTCCTAGATCTCAGAGGAATTTCTCAACACTTTCTCTCCCCAATCTTATTTCATGATGTTATTCTGGATTTGCTCTCCTTTTTGTTGAAGTCTAAACTTGAAGTGTGTGTGAGTAATGTCTGTGGATGGTAAACTCTCTTAGTCTTGGTCTGAAAATGTCTACATGTTCATCTGCAGTTTAGCTAGGTATAAAATTCTAAATTAACAGCTATTTTTCTTCTGCCTCTGCATATATCATTTTGTTTTCTGGCATGTTTTATTGCCAAATACAAGTCTGCTGCAATCTAATTTGTTATTCCTTTCAGGGGTAAAAATGCTTTTTCTCTCTGGTCATGTTTAAGATGTTTTATCTTTAGCATTCCAGAGTTTCACCATGATGTGATTGAGAGTGGATTTATTGTTTATCCTCATTGTATTTTCAACCTGAGGATGTGTGTTTCCTTGTTTCCTCAATTTCATAAATTCTAAGTCACAATTTCTTTTTCATAAAGATTATAGATACATGAGGCATGTATATCACCAATATGTACAAAGAAGATATGATACAATATTTGGAATAGTCAACTTTTGAATAAAACAGAAGTCCAATATGTATTAGGGTTTCACTGTACTCTCAGTTTAAAAAGGGTTTATGTAAATTGTAAGATTTCGGAGTTAATTGAACAAAAATCTACAATATCACTCAACTGAATTATTAGTTTGCACTTGAAACCCAAAGTTAAATTTAATAGTAATTGGGCCAACTAGTGTCTCTTGTCATTAATTTTTAGTCTTTGATTGGAATGCCCAAATCTTCATTTTAAGATTTGAGTTCTTGAAATTGTAGCCTAAAAGATTTCTAACATTTTATTCCACAACCAGTATCATCAAAAAGTGAAAGAACTTTAGTCTTGAAAGAGGTTTCCCAGAGCCTTTATTCTTACTCCTTGATTGGACACAGAATACTTATCATTTGGAGTTAAGAAAAAAATAATTGTACCTGTGGGCCTGTATGTCCTCTTCGGCCATGAGCTGCCTAAAATAGGAGGAAAGGTAGGTACTGTTAACTGAAAAAAATGCCTTTTATATCTAAATTAGTAATGAACACCTTAAGGCACTCACCTTTTTTTTTTTTTAAGTACCCACATATTGCTTAAAACATTTAATTATCCACTGCACCATGACAGTAAGATGTTGCCAGCTCTGAATTTCTTATCCTAGGGCAATAGGTAATTAAAATCACATAGACAACTGAAATCTGTACATACTTAAGGGAACAGATTGTGGTCAATAATTTGACCTCCATTAAACTATTACTAGAGCTGATCATAAGCTCCAAAATTGGCTGATTTGAATTTAATTTCTTTGCATTTTTGCAAAGTACTATCAAGTAAGCCAAAAATCAGGAGTGGAGTGGCCAAAAGGCAGGAAGCCAGAGGAAAAATTGGGAGAACTGACTCCATTGAATTTTATTATAAATTTCAGAATCTAAATATAACCAGAATAATTTTACCCTTTTCCCCCCAAAAAGCCAAATAATAAGCTTATCTGTCAAAAATTAAAGAATCAGCCCAAGCATTTGGAAGTTCTCAATTATGTTAATGAAATATTCAATCAAAATAGCAGCACTACAGAATCAAGTGAATTTTTCCTAATACTCTCATATGTAAGGTCAGGGTCTGGGTATATTTCAGATCAACATTTTGTAGATCTGGAAATCACACAAAGACATTTTATTGTCTAACCTGGATGTCTCAGTAAAGTCATAGTAAGACTGACACCAGGATTTGCAAAAATCAGTATAATATCAGATGACATTTTCTTGATGGACATTTGAGATATTCAGATCAAAATTCTATGTGAGGCCAGTGCTGCAGACTTTAAATTCTTCTAATCATATTTTAGTTAAAATCTATTGTTATCTAAGAAACAGACTGTGTATATCTGGAGAAATGGAGACCTATCTCTTTAAAACCGTGATGAGTCTTCTTGAGATGAGAGTTTAAATCCTCTCTATCAGAGGGAGGAAGAGAAGCTCTCTCCACTCCTTTAGTACAAGGGTTTATCTGTTCTGGTTCAATTTACTACAGTTTCATTCAGAAAAATATCTACCAATAATCTATTACCCACAAAGCATATTGTATGGAAACCACGGGAGCATAAAGATTTCACACACATATACACACACACAGTTCTTGACCTCAAGGGACCCTCATATTTTGGGTTTGGGGGGTGAAGAGATAAATATTGCAATATTTACAAGGCATAGTATGACAAATGCCATAAGAAAGGGAAGATGGAAATATGGGTTTCAAAGAAAGCAATTATATCTAGTTTGTCAAATTAGGAAAATATTCCTAGAGGAAGATTATTTTTAAAAGTTTAAGTAATCTCTACACCCAACATGAGGCTTGAACTCACAACCCTGAGATCAAGAATCTCATGCTCTACTGACTGAACCAGCCAGATACCCTGGAAGATATTTTTGATACGGGTTTCACAGAACATGTAGGAGTTTTATAGGTAGAAGAAAATGAAAGAAGTCTTTCTAGTAAAGGGTATAGCCTAAGTAATGAACTAGAGGCAGGAAAAAAGGAAGAGTATTTGATGGTGTGTATTTGACCATTTCTGGGTCAAAGGTGTGAGAAGAGAGGGGAGTAGTAGGGTTACTAAGCTGAAGGGTTCATATTCCCTTTAGCGGAAACCACTGAGGCCCTTAGAGCAGGAAATGTGCATGGCCAGACTTTAAGTGGATACATCTGGGTGTGGTAGGCACAACTGAACCTATATTCAGGCAAAATAAAGAGCTTCCTATAGGATATGATTTAAAGGATATGAAACAGGACCTTACATCCAAAAATCTTTCTCTGGTCCACTGTCACAGTGTTTGAAATAACATCAAGAAACATTTGGTGTCTGGGTCTTTAAGGTTTGACTTTGAAAGGCCTTGATTAAAATTAGCCATCTCAACATTGAGGTCCTGCTCCCTAGAGGCACTGGGGTGAGTGGTAATAAGTAAAAACTGATTTCTGTCCCTAGGCAGGAGTTTATAAGCCTAACAGAAGAGCTAGACTTTAATCCACCATTCATACATAATGGAAACATCTTTAGAAGTCATCACCTAGCACTTTCATTAATGGCTATGTGGGATTTAAACTTTAAATGGAAGTCATAAGTTTGAGATACCTTGGATAGGTGTGAGAGACTGAAAGAAAATAAGGAAATGGGGGAAATAATTTTACACTTTTGTTTTACATTTTTTTAAATGCTTTAGATGGGAAAGATTAAATCCCAAATGTCTTCATGGTTTACCCATGGGCTTGTAGTTGTCTGGTAACTCATCCAGACAGTCTAACTTATCTGTGAAAGGAAATGTGAATGAGCACATCAAGAAAGAAAATAACCCCAAAGGCATCCTGAGAGTAAGAAGACCCAGGAACAGGATACTCAGTCTTGTTGGTCCCTCATAGCCTGGCTTTCTGATGGTTTACCAGGACCCACTTTTCCAGATAGGTATGGACTGATTTGAGACACAATCCCCAGGGAAAAAAATAGGACATTCTTAATGGTAAAACATCACATTAATACTGAATCTTAATGGCAAACCCTCATTCACAGTGAAGACTGACTGCCTGCCTGGGGGTACTTCAAGCTGCCCCTTAAAGTAGTGCCAAGAGAGTTGAAAAGGGAAAAGCAAACTAACAGCCCTCTAGACTGAATAGAACTGAAGGCCATGTTTTAGTATGAGGCTACAGTTGCTTCTCGTGATCCATGGCACAAGAATCTGTTCTAATTCTCAGTGAAGTCTGGCTCAGAAAGAACCAATCTCCCATCCCCACCTCCTGCCCCAGTGCTGTGGCTTTCTGGTCCTGATCCTACTCCCTCCACCATCCCAATCCAACCCATTAAAGACTGCTGGTAGAGCACCAATTACAGCTTGTTATCCCTACAGTTCCATCCTCCTCTACAATAGTGGTTTCAAACTGCAAGAGGGGGATTTAGCAACCCCCCTTCTCTGGCAACATTTGGCAATGTCTGGATATGGTTTTTGTTGTCACAAGTTGGGGGTGCTGCTAGCACCTAGTGGGTAGAGGCCAGGGATAATACTAAACATCCTACAATGCACAAAACAACTTCCCCCAACAAAGAATTATCTGATCCAATGTCAATAATAGGTTGAGACACCATCCCTTGAATCTGTAATATGATTCTAGGTGCCTTGAGAGTAAGGACTAGGTCTTATTTGATTTTGTAGCTCTAGTAGTAGAGTTGCTGATACACTGTAGGTGTTCAATAAATGTTTGTCAAATGAATCAAGGTCAGATTTGGTCAACTGCTGTTATTTCCCTGCATGCCACACCCTACCAGCATCCTCCAATCACTTTTTAGTTCAGCAGAATCTTACTGCACCAAAGAGTTCTCAATACTTATTATCTATCTATATTTTAGAGTTTTTCAGTTAGTGGTATAAATTTTTCTTCCTCTGAAAGGACAATGACTTTGCTGTCATTAAAATATGATACATGCTGATTTTTAAATATTCAAATGCAGGAAAAAACAGAATAAAAATTTAAGTCATCCCCCCCCAAAAATTGAAGCCATCCCAAATCCTACATAGATAAAACTATTGTTAACATTTGGTAATCATGATTCCCAACATCTTCTTATGCATGTTTATTTAGATATTAAATATCTAAATATCTTGATGTTATTTAGATAGAGTTCTAAATAATAGTACTTTTTTTTTTTTAAAGATTTTATTTATTTATTTGAGAGAGAGAGACAGAGAGAGCACAGGCAGGGGGAGAGGCAGAGAGAGCACAGGCAGGGGGAGAGGCAGATGCAGACTCCCAGCTGAGCTGGAAGCCCGACATGGGGCTCGATCCCAGGACCTGGAGATCATGACCCGAGCCGAAGGCAGACGCCCAACCATCTGAGCCACCCAGGCGCCCCTAAATAATAGTACTTTTGATTAAGAAAGGATGATGGTATTTATGCTATTTTAAAATTAAAATATTACATTTAATTTTACTTGAATTTAATAGAAGAACAAGATAAATGGGGGCTGTATTGCCTGAATTTTCAAAGGCTTTATCATATTAATTATTCATATGTACAAAGGACAACTCAGGTGGATATGAAAATCTTGAACCCCTGGATTTCCTTCAGAACTCTACCTGTTCTACTGCTCTCCCTTTTGGCCCTGATTGTTGTGAAAAAGGCTGAAGACAAACTGGGTTTTCTATCTTTTCTGCTTGGAAATTCTTGGAGATCCTGCCTTTACATAATAAGTTTGGTAATTTCACTAGGATGTAGCTCAGTGTTAAAGTTTTTGTATCAAATTTTTTTTCTGAGTCAGAATATGCCTTTTCTACCTGCACATTTGAGCCTTTTTGTAAGAAATTCTCTTTTATTATACTTCTGAATATTTTCTACATTAGTCTGTTTAACTTAGTAATACAAATTGTACAGTTGTTGGCTCTCCATTGTCCACCTCTATCATTGCTTTTGTGGTTTCTTGATTACTATATGCCCAACTATATTTTCAGTCTTATTCTAAGTTTTTTGTTGCTCTTAACCTATCTTGCATGTTCATCACCCCCAAACACTACCAGCTTGCTTTCTTCACTTTCTATCATCTTGTCAGTTCTTTAGACTCTTTTTAGAGCAATCACATTGCCTTAGTTTTTTCAAGACTTTAGAGAACTATTTGCCAGAGTCATTCGGTCTTTTCCTTGAATAATTCCTCTCCCAATAAGGGTTTATTTGCCCTTTGCTCATGTCATTTTCCTCTTCTTTCTATGCATAAGTCTTAATAATCATTTAATAATGAAGATTAATAATATTTCTGGTTATTAATCACTTTTGAAGAGGGCCACCTATTTACTGAATAACTGTATGTGGTGTAGCTGGACCTAGGTCAGTAGCTTTGATATAGATATGTTGTCTCAAACCCTTTCTCATCATGAAGTATTTCTTTTACCTCATGCTACCTCTCCCTTCAAATTTGGGCATTTAAGAGATTTATGGAACTCACATAAAGCCCCTTAAATCATAGTTTTGCAATAGTCACTGTTTCTTTGATATTTGCAGCCTCCATGGACCAGACTGCTGGTTGTAGATATTAAAAATGAAATATTCTTTAGTTTTCCATGATTTCTGCCTCCTCAGCCACTCTTTTTCTATGGGTATATTCTCTGATCTTCTCAAAACCTGAAAGCTACTTTTAGAGAAATCTGATCCCTGCTTGAGGTCTGAGGTATAAGTATAAGCTTTCCAAAGTCTCCCTTCATTAAGATCTAGATTTTAAAAGAACTGGCCAATATTTGCCATCACATGTGGCTTGAAGTTGTGGTCATTCTTTGTTAATCTCTTTTTAATTTCTTGTGTTGTTATTGGTAAGTTGCACAAAAAGGAATAGTAAAAAAAACCACATTGACTTTGCCATCTTTAGCTGGAAGTCCCACTTTTACTCCTGAATGACACTGCTGAATCTATAACCCAAATGGGGACATATTTCTCAGGAGTTGTGCAGTTTAAATAATACATGGTGATGCTGTGTTAGCCTCTAGAGAGACTACAGCCTCTATAAAACAATAAAAGTACATCTCCCATGCCAGGAAATCTTGGATGATATTCTTTAAGTTCAAAATATTTTCCCAGGGTATGTAAGCTGGCTACACCCTTTTAGAAAGTGAAATGAATAGCAAATGTATTGCTTTATCTTTAGGTGCATTAACACAGCAGCAGTAGTAAAGTGCTTTCCCAGCAACTAAATTCTGCACATTTTAAGTGTAACTTCTGTTTTCATTTCCATTTTCTTTGCCTAGCAAAGAAGAGTTCCAAGCTACAAAAATATCTTCTTGATGAAGTATAATAGCTGGTTCTATGAACTTCTGCTCAGAAAATACGATGCATAATAAATGTAATATATCAAACTAGTTTTTATCTGTGCTCAATAAATAGCACAAAGAATTGAGGAGGGAGGTGGAGGAAGTTGGAGAAAGTAGATAACTAAGAATGGAAAGGAAATGCTGCAAAATGAAAAAAGGTCTAATTTAGAACCTGATGCAAGCACTTAAGTGTATTTTATTAGAGTTATCTCTTTTTATTAGATAAAAATTTTCTTTTATAATTTCTGTGCTCTTCCAAGTAGTCAGGCATAGAACCTTTTTCAAAAAGTGCTTGTTGAAAAAATACGACAAAACTAAATAAGAAAGACCCCAAAAGGTTGCATAAGCAAGTGACCCAATTTCATTCTTAGTATTTCCACAGTATGGAGGTTCCTCAAAAAATTAAACATAGAGCTACCTTATGATCCAGCAATTCCACTTTTGGGTATATATATCTGAAGGAAATGCAAACACTAATAAAAAAGATATCCACACCCCTGTGTTCATTGCAGCATTACTTACACAATAGCCAAGACACGGAAGCAACCTAAGCAACCACTGATGGATGAATGGATAAGGAATATGTGATGTGAGATATATATATATATATAACAAAATGTGTAATTATATGTATAAATATAACAGAATATTATTCAGACAAAAAAAGGAGATCTTGTCATTTGTGACAACATGGATGGACCCTGAAGGTATTGTACTAAGTGAAATAAGTCAGAGATAGACAAATACTATATGGTCTTGCTAATATGTAGAATCTCAAAAATACAAAAACAAAACAAAACAAAACAAAAAAATAACTCCAAAAACTTGACTCCTAGACACAGAGAACTTTTGGTAGTTGCCAGAAGTAAGGAGTTGGGGTGGGGTGGGGTGGTGGATAAAATGGGTAAAATGGGTCAAAAGGTACAAACTTCCAGTCACAAAATAAATCATAGGGATGTAATGTACAGCATGGGGACTATTGCTAATAATACTGTTTCGTATATTTGAAAGTTGCTAAGAAAGTAGATCTTAAAAGTTTTCAGTACAAGGAAAAATTTGTAACTACACGTGGTGATGAGTGTTAACTAGATTTATTGTGGTGATTATTTCACAACCACATATACAAATCATGTTATACACCTGAAACTAATGTTATACATCGACTAAATCCCAATTAGTACTATACATATATGCTTTAAAATTGAGCACAAATAGAAACCAGTTTAGTATACTGTATTTATTATGCATTGTATTGTCTGAGAAGTTCACGGAATCAGCTATTATACTCCACACAAAGAAAATGTTTTTGTGTCTTGGAACACACACCTTCTTTGCAAGGCAGAGAATATAGAAGTAAGAACAGAGGACTTATACCAGGACTGACTTTCCTAAGTAGTCATAAAATTGGCAGAGGAATGGAGTTTGGGACTTAAAATGACATCACTGGCAATGGCAGTTAGCATAGTGAGAAGGCCAAACTTTCACCACTCTTCCCCTAGTTGGCTGCTTTTTTGTTCTCTTTGCCCAGCCTTTTCTCCTGATCGGTAATTTTCCTTGCAACCAGCACCTTCCTGCCTCATCTTTTCAGGGGCTTTCCACAAGCGCTTCGCCAGCTGTGTTCTCAGAAGCTATCCCAAGTGTCCCCATGGTCTTGAGCCCCAGCAGAACCATCCCGCTCACTCCCCACAATCAGCCATTTTTATCACAATATAGTCTACCAGAGCAGTGGGTCTCCTTGTCTAGAAGGGCTCTTACTGTCTTTCTTCTGGAGCCTGGTGTTCCAGGGGGGCCTGGCCAGCCTCTTCCACCCTGTCAAGTGAACAGACAGACAGGTGACAGTAATTACACAGCACTGACATATTTCCTCTTCAACATCTGCTTGTGCTGCAGGGAGGGTGGATGGATACACACCAGCTAGGGAGTTATCCTCCCTTTGGATGTGGATTACTTCTACTGTTTATAAACCATATGTCTATGCAGGAAATGAGGGACTACAGGACAAAATGCTAATGACATGGCTTCATCTGTTCATCACCACTGTCTAACTTGTCTTCGGGCATCAGTTATAGAGTATCTGAGTCAAACTATCTCCCACTGTGTTGCTGCAGAGTGGATAAATGAAGCATGCCATGTGTCAGGTACGGCTACTACGGGTTTGGATTTCTACCTTTGGACTTCTTGTTCTGTTTGGCTAACCTGTGTAGATTCACACCTGCATGTGAATAAAATCTCACAATACTCATGCATCTTCCCAAAATAGAAAATGAAGGAAATTTATGAATCTATAATGAGACATGTGAGACTTACATTTACCACTTAGTAAAAATGGCAGGTAGCATTTACTGAAGGTTTATGATGCAGCAAGGTCAGTCACTGAATTCCCACCATAACCTTTAAAAGTAGGCTATTTATCCTATTTTGCAGATGAGAAAATTGAGATTTACAGAAAGTGGCCCAAGGCCACAGAGCTGGTAAGGCACAGAGCATGAGACAGGACCTGGGCCTGTCCCCAAAGTCAAGTTCTTCCTACCACATCAGACCTCTCCCCCAGGGGAACTTCCTCATCAAGAAGATCCAGAGAAACACATTTTCCAGATTATTACACTTTTAAAAATTCTGAAAAACAAGGTAAGATGATCAAATTGTGGTTTGTGAGATTTCATGGGATTAATCCTAAGAGATTTGCCTTGAGCATGTAAGCTGTATAGATCTACCAGATCTTTTTCTTTTTATCATGTACTACAAATAATACAATGTCTTCTTAGGGTATATGACTCCTGTATCCTGGAAGGCCAACAATTTACTGGCTTGTTCCTTCCATCAGCTAGCCCTACATTTTAAGATGGGAATTAGATGTTTGCATTCATAAATGAAGACCTCAAGGGCAGGGCTTGGTGAAGCAAGTCACCCCAAATTCAGAAGAACAAGGGAATGTTTTTTGAACCCTAGAGTAGCAGATAAGGAGGAGGAAAAGGTATTTTTGCTCCTAAAGATGCTTTTTCTGGAGCAAGTATGTCACATCATTACAAGTTTGCTTTCAAATGCCCACATAATTACTTGTCTTCCACGTTCTCCTTTCAAGCCCTTAGGTCCTTCTATGGTATTGTCAAATCCAGGAACTCCCTAAAAAACACAAAATAAAGAGAAAAATTTTGAATCTCTCGCCTTAAAAATGTAACTGCGTATAACACATTTACTCACTCCCCCCCTTAAAAAATTGACAAAATAGGTCCAATCCATTTAAAACCATAGATAGGTAGAAATTACAAATGGCTTATACATGATTTCTTTTCCTCCTGTGTTCTGCATTGTCAGAAGAGAGTGGGGACCTAAGGTGAGTGTTGGGGGGATGCAGGGGAGGGGAGCAAGAGCTCACCATAGAAGGCATTGCCAAGAGAAGCAAGGGTGACATGGCTTGTGTTTATGACAATTCTCATCCTGGGTCTGGAGGTACCCCTTCTTACTACTGCCATCCTTTCTCTTAATATTTGCTCTTCTTTCTTGGGGACTACACAAGTTTATACTTGAGGTTGTTAGATTTTTACTCTCCCTTACCTTTGGGAGAAGGGAGATGGTTTGTAATGGGCTCCACCACAAGAACATAAGTACACTGAGCAGCACTGAGGACTGCATCTGCCATCCATTCTCTCTTTCTCCCCTCAGATGCCTGGTAGCCTTCTAGCCCCATATGTTGTTCACTGCTACTTTTCCAGTTTTCAGAAAATTCTGGCATCTTGAGTTTCCCCCAATATTCATACAAACATTCTAGCAGGAACTCACTGTGGGACATTATCCTTAGCAGTCCAAACAGAAAGCTTTCTATCTTGGATAGTTAGGACCACCAATAGAGCAGTATGCCCATGATGCTGGGACAATCAATTGAGCCAGTCAGTTCAGTCAATGCTCCAATAAATTGAGAGGGGACAAGAATTATCCAGTCCTGCTGAGTGCCAGCTGCTGGGCTGTTTGGCTGATAGCAGCCCAGATTACCTTCATCAATCAATAAGTAATTTGAGATCACCAACAGGGACATGTCATTGTTCCAAATACTTAGAAAGATTTTTAAACAAATAGTTTCGACACTTACAGTTTATAGGCTACCAGAGAGAAAAAGATGCTCTTAGAATTTACTTTATAACTGAGATTACCAGAATTTATGTGAAAACTTAGTTCTTTCCCCCCACATACCAAAGCCAAAGATTATTTTCTACAATTTCTGTTTTAAGTTTAAATATTTGTCTGTTAAGTTCTCCAAGCAGGGTATACCTAAATCACAATATTAGAGATTGTATTTTGGCAAAAAAAGGAAAAGGAAAATAATGTAAAGTCCAAAATCTTATTCCACTGGATGTATAAATAACTTATCGAGGTCCAACTCCAAACTATTTAATTGAAGAGATGGCATTAAAAAGTCATACGCTAGCATATTCTACAGAATAGAATATCCTAGTTGTTTGGTCAGTCTGAATATGATCTGTCCAGTCTTTCAATTTTTTTCTATGCAACTGGACAAAAGAACATCTAACACAAATTTATGATTCAACATGGGCTTCTAATGATATGTTTTAGAATCATGAACCTTACTACACTCTGTAGCTCAAATGATCTGGTTCAGTTTTCTCCCCAGTATTACATGAGATGACATGAGATTTTTAAAAATGGGAAATTCCAAATGGCCACACTAGCTGTCACATGATTGGAAGTTCTGTCTGAATAAGCACAGATTTTCAGGAATTTGTGCCATTTGTATGCATTCCTACGAATAATCTGATCATGTGTGGGTTCTATTTATTCAATCAATCTTGCTCTCCCCAATTTTTCCTGAAATAGTAACCCATAAAAACCACACGTAAAAAGACTCAGAGAACTGTCTTTGATTTGAGATGTATACTCCCAAGAGGGTGGGAAGAATCATCATGCATTAAAAAACTAAAATTAGTATCGTGACAAGCAGCACATCACAGAAGTTCTAGTGGGTTGAATTTTCAGCCATCTCAAAGTCATAGAACCTTAAAAAAAAAAACCGTCTTACATTATTCAGATTCTTCTGGAAGTGTTAAGTAATCATACAATTTGGCAGACAATTAGGGGGGATTCTGACCAAAGTACATGGCAATTTTATAGCAGTATCCCAAGGAAATTTTTGGCCTTCATATATAGATGACTGAAAGGTCTTTGAACTACTATTTATTATTTTTATTTATGGATACTTTTTTATTTCTAACTAGATACTTAGAAGTTGTTTCAAAACTCTCAGGTCATCAGACTATTATCAGAAAACATCACTTATTAAACAATGTAGTCTTCAAGAGCAAATTCCTCTGCTTTTAAAATAGTTATCTTCGATGTATACCTAACATTTATATTTCTCAATATATTGCACTAAATTCTTTCTCTGACCAATCCATTGATAACTCCTCCTCCAATATACAAAGTCCTGTGAGTTTCCCAGTTGCCCCACATCCTTATCGGCACTTGTTATTGTCAGTTGTTTTTTTTTAAATTAGCCATTCTGATGTGTGTATGCAGTACATGCTATGGTATTTTGCTGGTGGAAGTGTAAATTAGTACAGAGTTTTTTGAAAACTGGCTTAAAAGGCTTAAGCTTAATGAGACTGAACGAACTATTGTCACCGACAACTATGTGGATGAATCTCACAAGCATAAACTTGAGCAAAAGAAGCCAGAAACAGAAGAGTGTATCCTATATGATTCTACTTACTTAAAGTTCAGGGATATTGGTAAAACTAATTTATGGTTTTAGGACAGTGATTACCTTTGGGAGAGGCTGGTAGTGATTGAATTAGACATGGGGGGCAATTTCTGGGATGTCCCATTTCTTTACCTGGGTGGTGATTACACAGGCACATTTACATTCATCAAGCTGTGCATTCGTAACATGTGTACTTTTCTGATGTTACAGTTCAAAACTAAGTTCTAGAATAATGCCCAGCATAGTGATTATAGACAATACTGTATCATATGCTTCAAAGTTGCTAAGAGACTAGACCTTAAATGGTCTCATCACAAAAAAAGAAATGATAATTCTGTGACACGATACAGGAGTTAGCTAACCCTATGGTGGTAATCATATTGCAGTATATAAATGTTACCAAATCAGTAGCTTATAACAACTTAAATTTACACCATGTTCTATGTCAATTATATCTCAGTAGAAAAGTTTAATTAACAAACCTAAATCCTAATTCGTTAAGATTTTGGAGACTTACTTTTGTGTGGGTGGGGTGATGGAAGTCCTATAGTACTGATGTTTCACTGGACTTGGCATATCCCCTACACTGGTGTGGGTCATGCCTATTTCGCCAGGTTATATCCAGGAGAGCAGGCACCTTTGTGTCATAGGTTTTGCCTGAAACGGTTCTAGCTGGCTTGGATTCACGAAAATTAAGTTCATATTCTTAACTGATAAAGGCTCTTGGGGAATGGAAGAAAAGAGATGGCTTTGTTTCTTCCACCCTATCCATATTTTGAGGTACTCAGAGGAAGAGAATGGAAGGGACTAGAATTCCTTCATGGCTCTGAAGCACAGTAACAATTCTGAATATGTATTCTCAAAAAACAAATGCACCAATGTCGGACAAGATCTTCTCACTGTCCATGCTCATTCCATAGATGAAGAGGGTCTAGCACAAGGGAAATGCTTTTAAAATTCCACAACAGTTGTGCTTGTGATGATCTAAACTCAGGATTTCTATTGTAGTAATGTAAAGTGGGGCTCTCTTCTTATCAGAAGCTGATGGCAACCAAGCCCTGTTTAGCTCACAGCCCACGCAGTGCCAGCACTTACAGGGTCTCCTCGCTGGCCCTTTGCACCTTGGTCACCAGAAACCCCTCGCTTTCCTGGGCTTCCCTAAAGATAATACAAATCAGAAGAAGGATAAGAAAAGAATTAATAACATTAGTAAAAACAAAGAGCTTATCTTCTCCCTCATTTGAATAATTAAAATTTTTCTACTAGAGTTACTATTTTTTTAAGATTTTATTTATTTGAGAGAGAGAGAGAGAGAGAGAGAGAGAGATACCCAGAGAGAGAACACAAGCATGGGGAGTGGGAGAGGGAGAAGCAGGCTCCCTGCAGAACAGGGAGCCTGATGTGGGGCTCGATCCCAGGACCTGAGATCATGACCTGAGCCGAAGGCAGGCGCTTAACCATCTGAGCCACCCAGGTGCCCCTAGAGTTATTTTTAAGCTGGACAGATGGACAACCAAAAAATAGTTTCAGGCATCACGTAAATAATTTAAGAGTGATCTCAATTATTTACCACAGGGAGGAAGTCTGTGTTCCAGACACATTTGTTGTCTTAGTTTTTACAGCTACTTTATAAACCAGGTGTTGTTTGTAGATTTCTTTTAATGAAGCAGCTGAGATTCAGAGACATTATCCATTTTCTCCAAGGTGGTTGTATCAGCTAGAAACTGGGTTTCTGACTCAGCTGTTCACACCCCAAAGACAGACAAAGTGGATGATGGAAGTATGGCTGCTGTTGGTGTCTGTTCTAAATGGGAATGAGTGGCAGACGCTTGCGGTGTGCTGCCCCACCCTACAGACCCTTGTTAACACCCTGCTGCCATTCTTAGTGTGGTAGCTGCTTTTCATTAATGGCCCTAATTCTTTACTTCTGTATCTATGCCCTTTGCCATGTGACTCTGTAATGCTTTCCAGTTGTCCCGAGTTTGGCCATGACTGAATCTGGCCGACAGAAAGAGATGGAAGTGTTGCTGTGCGAGCTCCAAGTCTAGGCCTTAAGAGACCTTGAGAGAACCTGTGTGTTTCTACTTGCTCCCTTGTGCATCTGCCATGGCCATGAAAAGGTGGCGGAAAACAAAGCCAGACAATGCTTCCTGGTCCTAGGAGGAAGATAAGAGACATGTGGAATAAGGCTGTCAGCCAACCTACAGACACCTGAGCCAAGATCAGCCATGCTTAGCCTAGACCAGGGATCTGGGCTACAAACCTCAGACACATAGGAAATAAATGTTTATTGTTGCATGCAGTTGAGGTTTTGTGATTGTCACAAAGCAATTTTGTGGTGCTCACTGACTGATACATTTAGGGTAGCTGTTTTACTCTGTTAGTCACACCTCTAATTGCCAGGACATTTTTCATGTTGTCTCTTTATTGAATCCCTACCTGGGATCCTTCATCACCCTTTTCTCCTTTTTCTCCGGGAAGACCACTCTCACCCTAAAAAACAGAAGAATAAACTCAAATTTCCATTTTCTTGATGAGAAATAGTTCAGAAGGGCCTTTTTGGGACAAAGAGAAGGCTCTACCTGTTCTCCATTTAATCCGCCAATTCCACTTCCTCCAAGTTCTCCCTGAAAAGACAGATGTGATCAGAATAGAGTGTATTACACATTTAGGTGGAAAGAAGTCAGACCCCAAACAAAAGTCTAGTTTTGTCTTTCATATACAGCCTAGTCCTGAGTAATAACAAAGATTACCGAGTAATAGAAACTGTGAACAAATAATACACATTGCCTGCAATAAAAAACAAGAATAAGCGGCTGGTAATAAAGGAAGATCCAGAGAAACTTCATTTGTATGATCTACTGTTTAGTAGTTTCAAAAAATGAAAATATTTCTAGATAAGAGATGGGCAGATAAATGGATACCATTGGTACCATACCTCCTGTCCATTTAGTCCCCTGTTTCCCTGAAAATAGAAAGGACAGTAGTGGTTAGTGTGAGAAAGTGGAATTAATGTTGGAAAGACTGATCAATGCCTAATGCAACCCTTACCTTAGGACCTTTGGCACCATGGCATCCCTTAGTACCTTGCTCTCCCACTGGTCCATTGGTTCCTCTGTCTCCCTGAGAAAGAGAACATACCTAGATGAGCCTTTTCCATTGTACTCTGGATTCTTAGAAATTTTACAAGTTTTGTACTGGAAAAAAATGTGTAACTGCTCATGGTTTACAATCCAGAATTCATGCTTATTAAACCTGAGAATGGAAGTAAATCAGAACTACTCTGATGACAACCCTTTGCTTTGGATCCCACCTGGATACTGCCCTAGGTAGGGTGGTATCTAAATAAAACAGACATACAAACAAGTGGCAGCTAAAATTATTCTCAAAATTTCAGCAGCGATTCCAGGAATAGATAATGAAGAATTGGTGAGGCACCAGAGAAGGATGCTCTAGGTATGATCTAACTAAAATCTAAGCATGATTTCCAATCCAAAATCCATATTCCTTCTCTTTCTTTAACCAAATATCATTCCTACAATCCTTGTCTTGGTTACCCCACTAGTCTGTGTAGTCTTGTGATCTGGAAACAAAGAGATCATCCTCTGCTTCTCTCTCCCCAGGTCACAATTACTTACATTCATCCTCTTTAACATACCCCCTTATACTGCCCCCAACTAAGATTAGGACTGCTTTGTCCTACACCTACTACTGCAAGGCTTCTACCTGTAACCCCTGCCTTATTAGCATCCATACATTGCCTGAGTATGGTTTCTAAATCCATGCCCCCATTATTTTTACTCCTGTGCTTAATATCATCCAATGACTGCCCATCAACTGGAAGATACCAAATCTTCTGTAGGATATTCAAGATTCCCAGTTACTCTGGGTCTTGCTTGCCACGTAACCTCCTCACTGTGTCCTGGGTTCCAACCATGTTGGCTATGTGCCATTCTACACACACACACACATACACACACACGCACACAAATTCTCTGACTCAGTCACATACCTTTGAACACATTGTTCTCTCTCTAGTAATATGTTCTCCCCCACAAACTTTGCCTGAAGAAATATCTATTTGTGCTTCAGATGTCTGCCCAAGCATTACCCCTTGTTTGCAGCCTTCCCCTCCCAAGCCTTAACTACTACCAAGGCTGTTAGGTATTTGCTCTGCTATGCTTTGCCACAATGCACCTCATTGTAACATTGGAAGAGTCGTTGTGTTTAGCAGCTGGAAGCATGGTTGTCTCATTTGCCTTTCCACTTGTCTGAAGTTACCTGAGATAAGAATCATATTTTTTCTTTTCCTTATTTTTTATTTCTAGGGTCTAGACACTGTGCCTGAAACATGGTAGAATGCCTTAATATATATTTGTTAGATGAATACATGAGTGGAGAAGTTCACTTATTATGGTAAATGGTAAGATGCTCAATATATAATTGTTAAAGGAATGCACGGATGGAAGGAAGAAAGGAAGAAGGATGGATGGATGGATGGATGGCTGGATGAATGGATGGGTGGATGGACGTGAGAAAGAGTGGAGGTCCTTGATAAATAATGTGGGGAGTTGGTTTACCTGTGCAAAATGGATCAGGAAGGGGGAAATGGCAGTGATTTGAGTCCCCTGGTGAAAAAAATAACTTTCGCATTAAGTTCATTGTGCAGCGTTGGTGAACAGCCAAAGAGGAGACAATAGGTTAATAAACCATTATTGACCACCAGAAGCAAAGCCCAGTGAGAATTAGAAAAGACCTCAGATTTTGTACATGAATTCTTAGACTCTGACTTTTCTTGTTTCCTTCTGAATTGACACAAACGATTTCCTTTTGCAGATATGTTCTCAGGAATAAATAGAGGTGAAATAAACCTTGACTTACAGCAACACCTTCCTCTCCCAGATAGCCCTCACTGCCTTTAAAACCTGGGAATCCCTGGAAATAAGGAAACAAAGAATGCATTAGAACTCCACAGACCAAAAACCAAAGGTCATCAAGCAAAAATCTTTAACTATAGTTTTACTTTATGTAGGATTACAGGAGTTTGAAAAAAAAAAATAATCCTCCCCCCACAACCTAGGCTGTATTTATACACATAAAAATAAATGTAGTTTTGAAACAAGTATCCAGATAGCTCAAGGGTGTGTGCATGTGTGGATCATAATGCTGTCCATAACCCTCTCTGGGGTTATATATAGTGCTGGAATATTTTTTCTCAGTCAAACCTTCAAGTGAACACAGCTATATTTGCCCTTGACAGACTAGAATTACCCTCTTTTCTTAAAAAAAATCTCTTTTAGGATTTATGCTACACATAGAAAAATAGACCACACACATTTCTTTTCATTCTTTCTGAGCCCGGCTTATTTATTTATTTATTTTTTAAATCTACCATTCTCCTTCCATAAAGTTGAAGCATTCAGGAAATAGTCCGAAAATTTTCTTCAGAGACACAAACATGTTGATTTGGGAGTTATGGTGCTATCTACAAATTATTCACAAATCAAACACACATGTAAACAAGCAGTATTGAAATTATTAAACACATCCATAGTATGTTTGTACATATTTTAGCACTTAGCATATTTTAGCATGCTCCCAAATCATATATTTTTTTATAAGAGTACATAATTTTTTGGGGGTTAGGAAATACATAAATCTACTTTTGGCTACTGTTTTATGATTGGCATTTTTGTGCATACATCTGTGATATTTTTGGTCTGGCTAAAGCTGACTGAAATGTTGCCACATCTTCTGTGAGGACAGGGTGAGCTGACCTAATTTGCTTGTCAGCAGACTACCCAAAACATACCCTACTTCATTTAAATGACTCTGCAGTCATTAAAAATGGGAATTGAAAGGACACTGATATTCAAGAGGTTTTCATTATTCAACACAGAGATCACCGTTGATTTCTGGGTGTCGTTGTCATCCCTGCTGGAACACTAGATAATCAAGGATCTTGGCAGTTGTCCCTCCTGACACTTGTATTGAAAGTTTTTTAGAAGACTCCAATTTAGAATGCCAAGGGAAAGCCAGGCGTATCTAGTTGTCATGGAGAGTAAGTGGTTACCTCAAAGGCTCTATCTAGAAGTTAAAATCATCCTTTATTTCCACCTAACCCTATGTCTGAAAGACATACTACATTCAAATAAGGTGAGCCATAAATCTTAACTAAAATCACCTTTTTCCCCGGTGGTCCAGGATCCCCCATTATGCCATCCCCTCCAATGCACTTGCAGAATAAACAGCAGCACGTCCTTTCAGCAACATTAACCTTGGGGAAGAGTAAGAAATACATGACATTGGGTGGCATTCCTTCCCAAATCACACATACACGCTCGATGGTGTCATTCAGACTTCTTCCACAGTTTCATTATTCCCCATTAAAGTAACCATGCTCCAGAGAGAGTGCATGAGACAGTCTTTAGCTGCTATCCTTCCTTCTGTGGTCTGCATTCTCCACCCTATGATAACTTCAAATCAACTCAAAGAGGTTTCTTTTATTTTTTAAATTTAAATCATAGGTAGTTAATATACAGTACAATATTGGCTTCTGGAGTAAAATTCAGTGATTCATCACTCACAGACAACATCCAGTGCTCATCATAACAAGTGCCCTCCTTAATCCCATCACCCATCTAGCCTATCCCCCCACCTCCTATCAACCCTCAGTCTGTTCTCTGTTAAGAGTCTGTTATGGCTTGTTTCCTCAAAGAGGTTTTTGTATCCTCAAAATGCTATTAGCTTAGCCATGGCCAGCTTAGTGCATACTAATTTATTAATGTGATCTCTTGATCCCACCCCATCCCAGCATTGACCATGGTGTTGCTGATTACCTTATATAATTCTGCCCCCAATAATTTTGTTCAATAAAATGAATGCTGTTTTCTCCTTTCCCTATTTTGTGAAATCTTTGCATGCTAAAGGATTTAGACAGTGCCCGATGTCATAGTGCTTAGAATGGAGTCCAATGGTAAACACTTCCAGAAAAGTTTTTGTGACAGGATTTCAAAAACACCAACTACATACTCAACATTTCCAAAACCCTTGCTGTAGAGGATGGGGGAATGGGGAGAAGATTCCCCTTTATACCTTGGCTGAAAAACCATATTATATATTGAAAAATATCAGTGAATTTTATCCTGACTAGGTTCATATTCCACTGCATTTCTACAATTAACCCACAAGATTTATTTTTAGGAAAATTTGCAGTAAACACCATGCTTGGCCTTGGTGGGGTAGAATCACTCTTTGTGTTGAAAAGTTTCCCATCAAAAATCTAGTGTGATGAAAAATGAAAATATTTTGTCATAATAATCATTTAGCAATTGTGCTTCTGGGTCTATTATATAATGTTCCTTTTCAGCCATTAGAAAAAAATTTTCCCCTAAAAATGTCAGAAAAACCAATAAAACTTGAAATGTGTGAAATCAAATAACAAACTGGATTCTTTGATTTTATATTAGATAATACCAATTTTCTTCAGATCACTAAAACCCTACAGCATTAGATCTTTTATTATTAATGTTAAAATTGATCTATTTCTAAAATTAAGTTTTTCTTTGATAATCTAGCATTGATGTGATATTGAAACACTGACAGGCTTGTTTTGAGGAATAACTTCCTCCCTCTATGAATTACCAATACGAATTTCAAAGACAGGGGAAAAAAATAGTAGGAAAAAAAGGACCTTTTGTAAAAGAGACACAGTCTTCCCATGTAGAAAAAGCAATTCCAACAAAACTTCCATATTCTTGAAGTAATTATTTTCACGTAATTACTACACTTAACAAATGGTGTTTAAACATCTATTTATATACACATTCTACAGGTGAAAAATAGTAGGAGCTAGCGTGTTATTGGAAGGTGTCTTGATGTGATTACAGAATTCATAAATCATAAGCAAATGAGAGATCATTAGCCAGTTATTAAGGTGAAAGTGGTGCCACATAATCTGGTAACCCTTCACCACTCTAGTTTGAATCCTTGTACATTTCTGAAAGAAATAGGACTAGGCTGCACCCATGTAGACATTAGGTTCTAAAAAGAGTTCACAAGGCAAACACTGCAGTCAAGACATTGACAAAGCTTTTGATCGCACATGCAGTACAACATAGGAGGAGGTCCATCATCATGTTGCTCTGTTCTTCCTCCAATATCGGGGCAGGTTCCTCTTCCTTTGGTTGAACTCCAAGTGCAATCGGCTCTCCTTTACAAGCCATGTTGCAGGGAAAATACACATCTTAAACACGAGTATTATACTCACTGCAGTGAGCTGTGACACTTAGGATCCACAAGGGATGTGAAAACCAGCTGGCTGAGGGAGCAGTGGATTCACCCTGTCACCTCAGATTCCCTCCAGTGCTTACATTCAGTGACTGTAATTCGGGCAGGATCATAGGTGCTATAAATTTCTTCCCTTTTTTGCCAAGCATATTAATTAAACGTGCTTTGATGTCTCTCTACCATATTACATTTTTTTTTCAAAACACCTTCTTATTTAGGCTGTTTACTAATTCAGAAAAGCCTTTTTCTCACACCCAAGTGAACAAAATTAGTCCAAATTCATAAGCATAAATACTAAATCTATATACAAAACAAATAGAAAATTTAAACTCACCAGCCTTTTCTAAGTAACTTACCAGTTGCTTTGACAGTCGGCTCCCAAGGTCCCTCATTCCAATAGTGAGCTGGATCCTGTACTCAAACCCTTTCCCGAATTCAATGTAGAGAAGATCAGCCAGGTCACTTGAATCGGTGGCTCCATCCAGAGCAACAGTTATGAAGGCATTCAGGCCTATCCAACACAGTTTACAATTCTCTGGGTAAGGTGGTTTTGGCTATTTTAATCTTTTTGCATATGTATCTAAATTGTTATTCTAGGAAAACAGTAGCAAGAGGAACACTCATTTTATTGTCTACTTCCCCCAACCATGCAATGTAAAACTGACAAGTGACAAGACTATCATCAGAGAACAAAAGGAATTACATTTTTCAAAGCTAATTAAATTGGAGGCAGGGGATATTACAACAGAACTTCCAGTTCCTGGATGACTTGAAGTGAGATATAATGATTTAAAAAGGGTCCATAGAGTATACTAAGATACAGAAGAACTGATATGTCAAGAAAGCAAATGTTCCAAATTTTTGCCATTCAAAGGGGGATCCTTGGACAGCAGCACTTACATCACCTGGGAACTTCTCAGAAATACAGAATTATCTACAGAATCAGAATCTGTATTTTAATAAAATCACCACATGACTTATATGCACATTAAAGTTTGAGAAGCACAGCTATAATGACCTCTTAAGGATTTGAGAATCCAGTTGGAATTAGAGTAAGAGACTGTAAGACCATAAGAGACCTCTTGTCAGGCAGTTAGAAACAAATGACACATAATCATCCAGAGCTGTAGCTCATAAACTTTGGAATTTTATAGACCATTATAGACCAGAATATTTCAAAGAAATCTGTAAGGGACTAACAAAGGGTTTTGACTTACTTAGCAAAGTATTAATTGATACAAACATGAAATTATAAAGTACTGATTGATATAAACATGAAATGATACCAGTAATAATCCTGGCAATCCTTATGGTGGAGGTAACCGCAGCAACAACTGTGCTCTCATTTATTAATAGTTACTATGTGCCTGGAAGTCAGTTAAGTGCTTTCCATGCATTAGCTTACTTGTAAGCTACAAATCCAAATGTATGGATATGTAGAATTATAGCTGTATTTTACAGATAAGTGAACTGAGGCTTGGAAAGGTTATTTGACTGGCTTGAGTGGTATTTTTAGTTTTTCACCTCCAAAGCCTACCATCAAAAGACATTTTTATAACAAAAGTATACTAAGGACATAATCAGAGTAAACATCAGTCCTAAAATTGAATAAACTTAGCTTTATTGGCATAAGTTTCCTCATTTCATTATGGATGAGTGAAGACATCTTTAGATGGGACTTGGAAGCCAATGGACTAGAACAAGGAAATGTTCACAGACCCGAGAGTTAAGAATGTTTTCTAAGTGTATGTATGATTCTGAATGAATGATTTTGGGTGAGAGGAAGAAGAGAATGAGGAGAATAAAGTTTCAGGGACATATTGGGGAGGCTCAAGTTCTAGGAGAGGAAAACAGAGAGGTTGGCTAAAGTGGAATAAATGAAGAAACACCAAAGAATAGGGTGACCAACTTGTCCTGATTTACCAGGACTTCCCTCATTTTAGTGTTGATATCTCTGGCTTCTCTCAAATAAACAAGGTGTTAGTCACTCTTCTAGGAATGAGAATGACAAGAAGAAAAGGGACGGTGGAGTGGGCTGGGATAGACAGTGAGGAATGCTAAGCTCATCAAAAGAGTTTACTGATCAAGAGAAGGCATGCTAATAGATCTATTTATAAGGGGGGAAATCTCACATCTGATTTTTCTTGTAAGTTCCAAGAAATGTAAAAATGTAAGAGTTATGAGAACCATGGGATTGTTGATCTGCAGCAAATAATGCATATAACTATTATTTGTAACTGCTTTCCTCAGGATGGGGAACTCTGATCCTGCTCCTTTCAGACTCATCCAATAATAAGTCAAAAGATCTTAAATACAATTCCTAAAAATAAATTAAGAAAATATTTCAAAAATTGAAAGAGTGTAAGAATCACCGAGAAGACTCTAGAGCACTAGATTTAAAGAAACTAAATGAATTCAAACCCCAATCCATGTGGATTAGTTAAAAAGCCACATCCACCATTGAGTATCCTTTTCTCCAGGTCTCCTCTTGTCTCATGATGAGTGCACAGTTTATACATATAGATACCTGGCCCCAAATTAGGGAGGCTCTCCTAGGTTACTGGATCATAGGGCCAAGCATCAACTGAAATCATATATGCTTAAACATGGGAAGCCAGAGCTAGGGGTACTCCTTGTCCATATTGAGAACCATTTAACACTTTTCAAAAAACATTATGGTCATCATCCCTTCATCTCTCCCATTCAGAGATTCTGAATTTTTGAGGATATTAAAAATCTAGCTTCTGAAGTTGAAACTCATTTAATAGTTTTTCCTTGGGAGTTGGGAAAAAGATGGTTGGTCTTAGAAATCTGGGTGTTCTGAGGGAAACTTCCTGGAGAAAACTCTTATGTTGTGTGCAGAAGATACATCTTTTTCACCACAAAAGAAAAGCTTAAATTATTTAAGAAAAAAAAAAAAAACCAAAAAACAAAACCCTACCCACCCAAATTAAGCACTCTAGGGTCTTATTCTCAGTCTTCATTAATATCTCCACTGTAGATCATAAAAAAAACGCCAAGACTTGAAAGAGTAAAAAGAAAGCAGCTTTAGCAAATAAAGGGCAAAATAAAAAGTCTTACTTTTCAGCTGTAAATATAGCTAATTTTGCAATTTGTTTAAGATTGAGGAGACAGAACAGAACAGATCCCCCTAGCTTCTAGTAGCTAACCTGGGAGCAACCTAAGCAACTGTCTTAGGCCAGGTTCTCCAGAGGCAGAGCCTGAGAAAGGGATTTGGATGCATACAATTTATTGAGGAAGCACTCGTTGAAGAAGGGGTAAAGAAAGCAAGATAGGGCAGGGGAAGGAGCTGAGCAAGATAGTGTTTCAGCTGAAGACTAGCTTCAGCCTGATCCCATGGGGAACTCTGGAACATAATTATACCACAGAACTGGTGCCATTTTGAGGTAAGGTCCAATTCCATGTATTCTACCTGCTGCCTAGGGGTGGGGTAGGGAGTAACCTTCCAGGTGAATGGCTTCCACTGGTCGACAGCAATTCTTCAGAGAAAGGAGAACCTGTGAGTTTCTAGCAGTGAAGAGTCACAGTAGCTGGAGGATGGGGGAAACTACTCGGAAAGGGGGCACCAATAGCATCCATTTACAGGAAAGTATTTCTATTCTTAGTCAAACCAGAACATGTGGGTTCATTTTTCTTCCACTGACCCATATTTTGTAAGAACTGACAATAAGTCAGACTGGGCATTTGTTCCTAAAGCAAAAAGCCCAGTGCCAATGCTTTAAAAACTCCTAAGCACCATAGTTGGCCATCTGTGGTCTGAAGGAAGGAACTAATTAGAAAACTCCAAAATATGAGTAGACTTGTCCAACAATGCCTGAGATTCTGGAAACTTTAACAGTGTCAAAAGAAAATAATCCAATTCTTCTATTCCTTGGTCAAGGAGAAATACGCTGTTCACTTCTGCAGACCCTAAAGAAGTAGCAATATTAGATAATGTGGGCCAAGGGATACAGGAATATTCTCCAGGAAAGCTTAGGAAGAAGACATACAGTGTTAGGAGGGAAGGGGTAGGACTTAATATTCAGTGCTGTTTCACATACATAGTGTAAGAAGAAAAAAGTAGATGCCAGAATGTTCTGAGAGCTCATTTGCTCTCCCAAGTGCATATTGGTGGACAAATTCAGGGTTATTTGAGTGCTTGAAAACTTAAGAGCCAGAATTGAGTTCTGAGGTTATAAACTCAGTAAACACTCCTTTCCCACTCTTCCCCATGCTCAATACCTTCTTTTCTAAGTTCATCAGATTTTTGTTCAAGCTTTTCGATGTCATCATCCAATCCATCTGAAAATAAGAGAACCACCTAGGAAAGTATTCAAAAAGAAAATTGAGTAAAAAGGATGTCATCGCAACCATAGACCAGCAGATAAAGTAAAACCAGCTTACCTTTCCTCGAGCAGCTGATTTATTCTGAAATGCATCCCATAGAGAACTCAAGAGGTTTGCGTTGAGAAGAGATGGTCCTTTAACTGTTACATCCTTCAAGCTGTTCAGTATGTTTTCACTATAGATCTCAAACTTGGGTGAATATTTTTTCATGGCATTGGTCACTTGAAAAGCCACGCTAACTTGAGTCTCTGTGCCCACCTCACAGCTTACCCCATTGAGGGAGCTGATGGTACGTAAGAGGTCTTGAAGGTAGGTTTCTATCCAAGACTGACCTTCAAGCAAAGTCTGCCCTTTTTCATGAGTTGAGATGTCAAATCCCACCACAATGTCCACAAAACAATCTAGGGTTCAAGGGAAAAGTATATCTTATTAGATCAGCAAATACCTTTATTTGTTGGCTTGTTTGCCATATCTGAATCAAGGTATTTGAAATTCTTATTTTGATTCCATTTATAAAGTTGGAAAACAAGGAAGAACATGACTGAATAAAGGAAGAAGCTTAGAATCACTCTTTTATAACTGGTAAAAGTGTAAGTATAGAATATTTTTTTAAGCTGGTATAAAATCTAGATGATTTTGTAACAAAATTCTGAAAGACTTTATTGGGGCCACTGAAAAAGCCACACAAAATCATTTAAGTATCTAAAGTTATATGTGGAAGTGTTAATAGTCTGAAAGAGGAAATTCATACCATGCTACTTACCAATTGAGGTCACTTGACAAATATTAAATTATAACTACAAGGGAAGTATAAAAATATTCAAATAGTCATTTAGAAAAAAATAAATCACAAGAGACTTGTCTAAAGGAATGACTGTGATGATTTCTCTCTCTAAAAACAATCTCTGATTCTTCTTTTCTGAGTGGATGTTAGAAGACAAAAAGAAAAAGGAAAAAAGAAAAACTACAAGAGATCCTTTGGCATCTTGCTTAGTTTATGTCAAAGATGGCATTCCCTTCAGGGCTCAGGCACTCAGGAAGCTGAAGCCATTGCCATTTGGAGATTTGGTAAATACCTAGAGAGGTTTCCCATTTAGAGTGCTTTGCTTTTATCCTTATTAGGGCCAGGGACATGTTAAGCATTGGAGAAACTAGAAGGGGCTTGATAATTTAAGCTGAGCCTCCTAAAGGGGAGATAATCAGAGGAGGATAAAATGATAGTTCATATGCACTCTTCTTTCCAGAACTTTTAGGTTGGCTAAAAACTTCAAATTTTCCAGCAAATTCAGTTGGATACAAATTCAGCAAATCCAGCAAATTTAACTAGCTTGCTTGGTTAAAAAAAAAAAAGGCAGGAGAAGGTGGGAGGAAGAATATGTATTTTTAGTTTGCTTTGTTCAGATAAGCAGTTTTTCAGATAGCTGTTGTGTGGACAAATGCCCACCTATACTGCCTCCAGACACACTGGTCAGTTGTACATTTGCAAGTCTTTGAAATCAAAATGTCACTTTCCAATTTTTTTTTAAAGATTTTATTTATTTATCTGAGACAGAGAGAATGAGAGAGACAGAGAGCACATGAGAGGGGGGAGGGTCAGAGGGAGAAGCAGGCTCCCTGCCGAGCAGGGAGCCCGATGCGGGGCTCGATCCAGGGACTCCAGGATCATGACCTGAGCTGAAGGCAGTCGCTTAACCAACTGAGCCACCCAGGCACCCTTTCCAATTTTAAAATAAGGGCCAGTAGCTTGATTCACTTTTTTCACCACTCCCTTGTTCCCTGATTCCCATTTAATGAGAAAAGAGCTGGGTGAGGGAAAATAAATCCTTATCTGATAATCAATTTTCACCATGACATTTCAGGTAAATCAATGTTATCAAAACATCTGAAAGGTGGGTTTTCTTTAGTTTTTCTTTATTTCTTATTTTGTCATAGGAACTTTCTTAGAAAAATCTCTTCTCTGATATTTGGAAAGGGAGATGAGGAGAAAGAAACTGGTCAGAAGGAAGCATCAGAATATGTCCTTTCCAAAATTCCTCTTGAATCAATATCCTATCATTTCAATCTTGAGACTGTTGAAAAACGAACAGTGGCAGAAATGCCAAAATGTCATTGAGTGATCCTGGGAACTGTCCCCTCTAAAAATTTGGTGTTTTAACTTTTTGTCTAGATTAGCAAATAAGTTCCCTGTGTTTATTTAACTAATTCAAATTGAAAAGTTATTCCATAATAATGTGATCAAAGGAATAAATGTGAGGAACAAATCCGCAGTTGGCAGCCACATGTCTAAATACAATTAGACTAGGCCATATTAATCAAGTGGACTCTCTTGGAAGGAAGGGTCTTACCAACTCTACAGAGACATCTGCCCTCAAATCAGGAGCCCTTCAGAGCTAACAAGAGGCAAGGATGGTTTTGGAAGTGAGCTGGGGAGAAGGCTAACACTGGATTTCCAAGAGAAATAATGAAGGATTAACCTAGGATAGCAGGAGGGGGAATTGAAAAATGGCGATAAATGCAGTGCAACTTGAGAAGGGAGTCCACAGCACTGCTGTGGAGGGTGATAACAAGGAGAAGCAAAACTAGTGTTTTGAGTGTTTGACTTGTCCTCACAAACCACAGTGTGGAAGTCTGGATGGGGAGAGGTCTTTAAGTGGGAAGGCTCCATGTTTAATTTTAGTCATGGACTGGCCAAGACGCTGCTACTGCTAGGTAACTTTTGGCAAGTCTCTTAACCTTTCTGGGCATTAATTTTCCTGTTTATAAAAATGAGATTATATAGTCCAAAATAAAAAAACAACAGAACAGAGTGGATTGGACTAAGCAGGTAGTCTGACAGTTCCCTGTCAGACTTAAAGGTGGGTTTTAATTATCTGATTTACAAAGTCCATAATTAGAGTTGATGATGGGGCAGATTCTTAGAATTAAGAAATACTGTCAATCGGGCTCCCTGCTCAGCAGGAAGCCTGCCTCTCCCTCTCCCACTCCCCCTGCTTGTGTTCCTGCTCTAGCTATCTCTCTCTGTCAAATAAATAAATAAAATCTTAAAAAAAAAAAAATACTGTCAAGAAGGTAGGATATATCAGTAAGATTAGAAAAAATTTCTCAAATACTTTAAAGGGGAAAGTTGGGCTATTGGCAGTTACTGGTTGGGATAAGAGAGAAATTTGTTTGGGGCTTTTGAAAGAAGGGGTATCTTAGATGAAAAAAAGAATGATCTAGAAAATAGGTAGTGTAAGAGACCCAGTTTATGTATTTCTCAGATTTGCTACCTCCTCTCCACCCAATCCAGGACTTGGACATTTACCCATTGGATAGCCTCAGCTGCCACCATCATCTGGTCTCCCAAAAGTATGCAGGGGGTGGAAACCAGGCTTTGTCATGGCCTCCATCATCCTCAGGGCAGGAGGGCCAGGATGACTCTGGTTCCCATGTCCAACCCAATTGAATTCATGGGAATTCTGACTCCTTCTACCACTTCCAGTCACAGATATAATTCACTGTGTAATTTCCTCTAAGTCATGTAAGAGGAGGTCTAAGAGAGAACTCAGAGATGAGACAAGCCTAGAAATTCTAAAGAATGAACCACAGGATGACACACTGCTCTCTCTGCAAAGGAGAGGTGACCACATTGAGGGGCTGTAACTTCTAGTATTTACTGGGGCAACTGATACGTAATTGTTTCCCATGGAGCTGATATGCCCACATGTAAGAAGGAGCTATTGTGGACTCCTTTGATCTCCTGTCCAAGGCGGCTAACTGGAGGACCAAAGAGATGGCAGCAGAATAAAGCTGAGGGCATCACCAGATGCCCAGAGGCTGAGGAAGGCATAAGGGAACATCTGGAATTGAGACATGTTTACCTTTCTCAAAGGAACTATGGTTGAGAGATCCCCTGCCAAATGTGGAGGGCAAGAGGGAAAGTCTTTGGAAGACCCATGAATGGATCCAGATTTAGATATGGGCTATTGTCACAGAAAACCAATTCTTGCCAAGCATCATCAAGTAAGAAATTTTCTGTACTTCTTTAGCTCTTCTCCCTTCCCCAACCCATTCTGGAACCACGGCTAGCAACAAGAGGGCAGGACCTAGGAGAAGAGGGTAGAAGTGAAAGGTGGGCAACAATGGGTAAAATGCCAACCACGTGAGATCTCCTCTGTCATGGCCAGTGAGCAGACTGTGGGAGGCTGGGAAAGTGGAGTAACCTTGAATGAAGTTTTTAGTTTTAATGGTTACCTTTAGATAGACATATTAATCACCAAGAAAATGTTCACTTATTTCCTGAAAGTGACTAGGGTCAAAGGAAGAGCTGGCCCCCATGAATAAATTTAATGGATCAGTGGTAGACAAAAATGAAGTGACTTTACATTGAGTAAGCATGACACCTGGGATGTAATTATAAAGTTTAAATGCACATTTTCTCATTTAATCTTGACAATGATCTTTGAACTAGGTGCTGCTATTGCTCACATTTTATAGATGAGAAAATTAAACAGAAAAGTTAAGCAACTTGTCCAAGAAAAAAATGGCCATCGAACAAGGCTTGGTAGCCAGGCTGTCTGTCTCCAGAGCTGCCTCCTAGCAACCAGATAGCTTTCCTTGTCCTGGTGAAAATCTAGAGTTTCTGTTTACCATAGATAGTTACACAGAACCACAGCCAACCCATTGGGCACATCTACAAAAATAGGAAAAAAATCATCCTTCTTTCAAGATTTTTCCTTCCATCTGTTGGAAAATGTCAAAATAGACTAACTTTTAAGAAGGTATTTACTAACTTCTACAGTAAAGTTTCATAATAAAGATCTAAATCTTCAAGGCTCTTCATCCTTTATACACCTGCCACAGCACTTGGCAGCCTGAAGGCCTTATTGCCAGGCAACCAAAACCTGTCAAATTGTTTACTTCTTTGAGACAGGGTCTCCAACCTCTGAAACCAATGAGATTGTAAACAATGGCCTTTTCCTCATGCCACAGCATTCCCATTTGCAAAGTGGGCATGGGCTCCGGAGCGGGGGTGGGAGGGGGTGGAGGATGGGGGCTGGTGTGTGAGACAAAAGGCTCTCAGATGTCCTGTTTTTCAATCCACAAGTCACAAAGAAATACTTAATGACCGTGAAAAGTTCAATCTGAAATCTAGAGGCACAAATCTAAATTCTCCTACCAGCCCCTGGGGATGTAAACAGAGATTGAGGAGAATGTCAGCAAAGACAGGGAAGGAAAAAATATGAAGGGCACATTAAATACTTACTGCTCTCACCCCCCGAGGTACAGATGTTGCGAACTATCCTTTTTTTGACCTTTGTCAGTTCATCAAAGTTATGAACCGTTAGCTTCTTATCTGCAGTCCCGGTGATCTGAATGAGCTGCTGATCATCCACGTCCCCAATGCCCACAGAGTAAATGTCAATACCTTTGTGTCTCAGGTCTTCAGCAGCCTGGGCCACCTCATCTTGGGACTGGCCATCTGTGAGGACCAGCAACACCTGCGGGGTACCTGCATTTATGCGGCTGCCCATGTCTGGCTGGAAGTAATGCCCCACGTGCCGGAGTGCAGCGCCAATGTGTGTGTATCCAAAGATCTGCTGGATGTTTCCAATCTGAAATGATATCTCCTCTTTGCCTATGAAAGTACCCAGTGGAAATTCTGGCCGATAGGTATGGCTAAACTGAGCAGCACCTATACGTACTCTGTTGACACTGACATCAAAGTCTTGAACAACAGATGCCAGGAATTCCTTCATCTTCTTGAAGTCATCTGGATGAATGCTATTTGAACCATCCATGAGGAAAACAAGATCTACTTTTTCAATTTCACAATCTACAAAGAAGAGGAAAGGGAATAACAACAACAAAAATCGGGTTATTTTTTCTTTAACTTGGCAAGTGCAGATTATGTGTTTGTAGCTATATAGAAATGATATTTCTGAAGACGGTTTCTTATCATATGCCATCCAGTGGTCACATTAATTGAGAGGAAATAAAAACAATCAGTTCATAAAGGCACAAACAGCTCACACATCCCTTTAGGTCTCTCTTGGGATTTCCATTTGGTCTTTTTTTTTTTATTTTTTAAATTTTATTTTATTATGTTAGTCACCATACACGTTCCATGATTCCTTGTTTGCATATAAGACCCAGTGCTCCATGCAGAACGTGCCCTCTTTAATACCCATCACCAGGCTAACACATCCACCCACCCCCTCCCCTCTAGAACCCTCAGTTTGTTTTTCAGAGTCCATTGTCTCTCATGGTTCATTTGGTCTTACACCATTTTCTTTTCAAAGATGCCAGAGAAATGGGGGTGGTGCCACAGAAAACTCATTCTTACCTGCAGTGTGGCCTCAACCCTTCCAGAAAGCCCAGTGATAGTGGTAGCACAGCAAGAGAAAACAAAAGAGCACACATCCACTTAGAGACTCAAACAAAAAGACAGATGGTCTGTATGATTCACTTGGCCTCCCTGGCTAGTTTTGCCAAGCAATACTTTCCTGATTATTTTTTTTTTAAAGATTTTATTTATTTATTCATGAGAGACAGAGAGAGAGAGAGAGGCAGAGGGAGAAGCAGGCTCCCAAGGAGCAGGGAGCCCGATGCGGGACTCGATCCCAGGACCCTGGGATCATGACCTGAGCTGAAGGCAGACGCTTAACCATCTGAGCCACCCAGGCGCCCTACTTTCCTGATTATTATTAGGGCGAACTGAGGTTTTAAAATCATGCCTTCCAGCCTATATCTTGTCTGTTTTCCTCTCTTTCAGCTCCCTTGCTGGTGCATATAGGCAAAAATATGTACTTGAGAAAAATATTTTTGGGCAATGCAATATAGTTTAGAGATGCTTCCTTTGTATTAATACAACAAATACAAAACAAAAAGAATAAGACCACTGCCAATGAATGAGTTATGCTTGGCACATGCTCATGTGTGTTCTGGTAAACATTACCATTTCCTTGAATTCCCCCAGAGATCTCACCATTGACTTAATTCTTGTCAGCCTAAGATTAAAGGTATCAGAGATTCCTGCAGTCAAGATAAGCAAGGAAGAGATAAAGAGAAATATGGTAAATCAGTTAACTCATTAAATTCTTGTTTCAGTTTCAAATAAGGGAAATAAAGCACTTTTTTTTTTCTAACACACCCAAGGGAGAACTTCCAATACAAAAATTCAAGGTCAACTTTTGCATTAGGCTTAAAAAGGACAGATCGAATTTTAGACACAGGCCAACAGAAGCTAAGAGCTGTCCCAGTTTTCAGTGAGACCCAAACAGATTTCATTAGTTTTATGAAAGAAAAAGGTAGGAGCTGTCTTCTAAGGAGGCAAGACATATGAAAGCCAGAAAAGTTAAATAATTTTTAAAAAGAACTATACCCAAGATGTTGGAATCCTGGATTAATAGCAATTCATCTAATAATACTTAGTTATTTTAGTAAAACACACCTAAATAAAACATACTAAGGAATTTTTTTAAAAAAGATTTATGTGACAGAGAGAGTCCGAGAGCACAGGCAGGGGGAGCGGCAGGTGAGGGAGAGGGAGAAGCAGGCTCCCTGCTGAGCAGAGAGCCAGATGCAGGGTTCCATCCCAGGACCCTGGGATCATGACCCAAGCCAAAGGCAGACACTTAACTGACTAAGCCACCCAGGCGCCCCAGGAATTTTTTTTAATAGACCATAGTGTCCCTTTAAAACAAAGGTGTAGAGTGGCAGCTGAATAAATGAATGAATGACCACATACATACATAAATGTGGCAATGTAATCTCTAGCTGCTGAACTAGAAACATGGGGCAAAGGAAGTCCACTGTGCTCTGCTCTAGAAACATCGGAGTCTGGAATAGTGTGTTTAATATCAGGCTCTGTGTTTTAAACAAGCTTCTGCTGTTAATAGGCAAAGGGACTGGGATCTTCCAGCCTGCAGGACAGAGGACTTCAGGCAATGACTGCTGGTTCTTAGGAAGAGGTGGAATTGGATTTCTTGTGTGAGAAGTGGGACAAAGAACCAGTGGATGGAAAGGATGTGTAAAACAACTTTGTGTTCTGAGAAACAAAGCCTGCTCAAAAATGGTGAATTCCCCATGATTAGAAGAGTTTAGGCAATGAGCAGGAAAGTTGTAGGAGGTATTCCTCTTTGGGGAGGAGGCCCAATGAAATGTCCTTGAGATCCTTCTAACCCTAAGATTCTATAACAATGGGAAGTTCTAGGACGATTGGTGCTCCTACTCTCCTCTCTGGAGAACTTGCTCCAAAGGGCTATTGCTTTTGGTTTCTCCCTAACTTGGACCTCTGCTGATAATCAAGAAAAATTTAACTGACAAATCTTACCTACTTTTGAAGAGTTACATACGCTGGCTGACACATCTGAAAATATTCCCTTCAGGCCTCCAAACGTCTCCACAAAGAAGTATTTGTCACTCGATCCTGCCATGGCTAGCAGCTCCACGGGATTAGCACCAGCAATCCCCACGGCCAGGACAAGAATGCCTTTGTCCCTCAAGGCCTTGGCTGTGGCATTGAGCTTATCAGCATCGTGGGATTCCCCATCGGTGATCACAATGAGGACTTGGGGGACCCCTTTGTGCAGACGGCTGCCCCCGGCTTCAGTGAACATGTGGTCTGAGAAGCCTAAGGCCTCGGCGGTGTAAGTATTGCCCCCCATGGGCTGGTCCTTCTGGAGCACCGAAATCACCTCCCATTTTGTGCCAAGGTCACCCAGATAAAACAGCACCTCTGGGTCATCAGCATACTTCAGAGCCCCAAACCGGACCTGATTCTTGCCAACATCAGCTTTTTTCACCAAGTCAACCATAAAGTCTTTCATGATACTATATTCATCATGGTCAATGCTTCCAGAGCTGTCAATTACAAACACAACATCCAAAACTTCTATCCTCTTGCATTCTAAAAGAGGAGGAAAAAGGAAAACCACATGAGATTAGCTTTAGACATCATGGGAGACTCTTCTTCCCACGCCTGTTTTTTTAATTACCAGAGTCTCGTCTGCATGGGATCAAGCTGTACATTAGAATGTCCATTCCCTGGGTAACAGACAATACACATAGTTTGTGCTGCCAGTATGTAGAAATAGTAAGGTAAGCTTTTAGGACAAGGCAGACATGAAGCCTACTGTAGGGGGTAGGAGGGGGGCAATAGTCACAGGATCATAGGAATAAACACTTCAAATGCTTTGGACTAAAAAGGAAAAAATAGAATTCTGTAGAAATCTCCTGTATAAATAGTTTCTTCAACATGTGCTTTCATGTACACAAATTCTTTTTTTTTTTAAGCCCAGGGAGATTTTATTCTTAAAATAAACCTTCGGGAAATGACCACATGAAAATGAATTTGGCAACACTGTATATTTTTCCCAGTTTTATGATAGCTAATTCTTCAAGGTTACATTTTCTCCCTTTTTAACTTTCCTGAACATTATCTATTTTCATTGTTGGGCCTCATCATAGAAATAAGCCCAATTCACACTTGGCCTAACTCAGTGGTCCTAGCATGACACACCTGTTAACTTTTCAAACTTTGGGTCAATGACATGGAAAAGTAAAGCAGGAAAGACCCCATTAATACTTAATCCATGTGTGTGTAACATATTCTATCTAAAGGTGCAGAGTTCCAAATTCCAACTCATTCATTCTGGAGAAGTGAAAGGTCAGTTGGTTAATGATTTAGTCCTTATGTAGCACAGTCTCTCTATAGGCCTTGGAAAGGTATGTTCCAAATATTAACTCACCAGTTCTGGAGAAATGGAATGGCAACAGAGTAGTCATCTTCCCTAGAGGCTCATCCTATTTCCTTCCTCTGCCAGCCACCTGCTTGCTATTTGGCAGGGCTGTTGAAAACTCTAGAGCCAATGTAATTACCCTACTGACTAGAGGCCACGTTGTACATAGCCATAAACCAAATTCTCAAGAAAGGCTGGTTCTAAAAAAGAAGACACTACGTCTCTCTGGCTTTTGGCTACCCTGAGGAGCCTGCCTGGATTACCCAAGGGACTGGGGCGGGAGGGGGGGAGGGGGTAGATTTCTCAGTGTTGGCACATTTCGAAGAGTTCAGATTTGTTCTGCATAGAATTATCAGGAAATACAATCCAGGTATATTTTCCACAGAGCACAGACTACCCACAATCGCCAAACCTTCCAGTGGAAATTGAACAGAACTGTTATTTGAAAAACACCGTTCCTCTCTTTCCTCAAAACTCCGTTAAGATCCATCTACTTCATAGAGATTTTTCAAAATGCCTCTGTCATCAAGCCCCATGGATCACAGTGTAAATCAGTCCCTTACATTTGCTGAACTTGTTTTGTCACTTGCATGACTGCAGTTTCATGGAAGGAGGATGGGGACTATACTATTTACTTCCTTTGAGGATCCATGGTTCAAGTTCCCATACTATATTCTTCTTTTAAATCACAGTGTTTTTACCAACATTATCTCAGTTTATAGAAGTATTGGTTTTCAAATACTGTAAAAACAAACATCTACATTGGACGTTAGGTCAAAGGGGAGCCACCTTGCTCGGGAGGTTATGCTCTTGTACTGCTTGCCTCACATGGAGCCCAAGGACACAGGTTATAGCAGGCTGGCCCCTTGCCTCCAGGTAGACAGACTCTGTGGTATAATTCATGCTCTAGAGTTCCCCATGGGATTGGGCTGAAGCTATACTCTAGCTGAGACCACCTCCTTGCTTAGGTTCTACACGTGCCCCATCCTGCATTCCTTACTCCCCTTCTGAAAATGCCTCTTCAATAAATCACTTCCACAAGAACCCCTGACTCAGCTTCTGCTTCCAGGGAACCAGACCTAAGATATCGCCTTAGTGCTCTCTGCCTACAAATGGGAAACAATCTAGGCGGACCAAAATTGTTCTGTATTAATTCAACAGTTCTGTTGAGGAAAGGAGCATTTTTAAATATGTAGGTCAAAATCTACTAGGATGAACATTTCAATTAAGCAAAAAGTTTGCAATGTTCAAATAGTATTCTACTAAACATATGTTTGGATAATCCCACTAATGCAGGACACCTACCTTCACGGGGGCTGCATATTCCAAAAACAAGATCATCTTCAATGTGCTGCAGGATATCAAAATTCTCAACATAAAAAACCATCTCTGGCCTCCCGCTGATTTCCTCAAGCTGGGTGACATTGGAACCAAACACCCCCACAGAGTAGATAATTATGCCTTCTTGTCGAAGTGCTACTGCTGGGTCCTTGACTATGTCCTGAGCTTCACCGTCAGTGATAAGGATGAGAAACTTTCTGACATTGGGCCGGGCCCCCTTGGCAGGGCTGAAGTACTGAGACACAAAGGTCAGGGCACTACCAGTCAAGGTGGTTTCTCCAATGTGCATCATCCGGTCTATTGCATCTGAAATGTCATTTTGGGACATATATCTGTTGAGCTGAAATTCCTCCTTATTGATGTCACTGAACTGGACTACACCGATTTGTACTCGATCTGCCCCAATCTGAGATTTGCTCACCAGGTTTTTCATAAATGTTTTCATTTTGATGAAATTTTCAAGTCCTATACTGCCAGAACTGTCCACCAGAAACACGATGTCCGCTTTCATCTCTTTGCAGGCTGTATGGGAGAAGGCAAGAAGTTTATTCAAGGTGGCTTCGGGTAAAAAGATTAATGGTAAACAAGAAAATCCAAAACACAAATAATTCTATGTTGAAGTTAAGTGTGAGCTTGGTAAGGATTGTAGCAAGTAAATAAAGCACTGAGAGGCAATAAAAGTGAGACTACTCTGTTGTTATTAATATATAATTCAGGATATCTTCAGCACTATTGACAATTTGGGCTGGATACCTTTTATTGTGGAGGGCAGTCCTACAGTATCCTATAATGCATGGACATTTAGCAGTATCCCGACCCCTACCTGTTAGATGCCAGGAACATTCACTCAGTTATGACAACCAAAAATTTCTCTAGACATTGCAGGTATTCCCCAAGGGGGCCCAAATCACCCCTCGTTGAAGACTACTGATACAGTTCTAAAAGGTTTCATAAAAGTTTTATTAAAAAGCAATTTAAGTAACCTGAGGTACTCCTTCAAAATCAGAAATCATTTGCAGAGTCTAATTATAAGTCTATCCTAGCAGGGATTTGTGGGGAGAGGCTAATCAATATTTACGAGGGAGAACTCCTTCAAACATCTTTCTTATGCTTCAGATATTAATTAGAACAACACTATAACGGGCTCCTAGTTTTGCTCTGGAGAACAAACACAGCTACACAAGTCAACAAACCTTGACTTGGAAATTTATGCTGTTTCTCTAAACCTGGGATGTCATACTGCAGGGAGGTAATTTATGAGCTGAAGTCAAAAGGTAAAACCACCATGTCCCCTACCTTCTTCAGCACAGATTTCTTGAACAACTTGGTTTCTTATGTCTTTCAAAGCATCAAAGTCATGCACGTAGTATACCCTCTTCTCCTTGCCTGCAATTTCTCGCAGCTGTGTTTGGTTGGCCTCCTTGACCCCAATGGCATAAACACGAATGAGCTCTTCTCTCAGTCTGTTCGAAGGCTCCAAGATGCTATCCTTGGACATGCCATTCGTCAGGACAACAAGATGACAAGGCACTCGGTTTCCTCGCTGCTTCTTCGCTTTTTGTAAGAGCCCTAGTGTGAAATTCAGGGCTGCCCCTGTGTTTGTGTTCCCACCCATCTGCCGGATGTTCTCGATGGCCTTTCCCAAGTCGTGCTTGTTAGTGTATTTATTGATCTCAAATTCCAAGTCCCAGCTGTCAGCATACTGGACAGCCCCAACCCGCACCTTTTGGGGAGCGATGTTGAACATCCCTACCACCTCTGACAGGAAGGTCTTCATTTCGTGGAAGTCTGTGGCCTGGGTGCTTCCAGAGCCATCAATGAGCAGATAAATGTCTGCTTCTTCAGTATCCACACAACCTAAAATGGAACCAGAAAGTTGGCTGTGGCCCTGAGGCAAGTATGAAGAAGGAATGGGAAGAGATGGGAAGTAGAACAATGCAAGCGTCTTCAGACAGAAAAATGGAAAATAGCTTCTAGGCGTAAAAGATACTCTGCTAGCCTAATGTAGGGAGATCTTAGCATCACTGGGACCAAATGAATTGCTTCTGACAGTTTAAGACTATTTGGATAGTTCTTGGTCATGAATCAGAGCAAATCTGGATACAATAAAATATTAGAAAGAAAACTTGAAGATGATTTTTACAAGTTACTTTCCTCATTAGTGAATAACTGCTTGGCAAACAGGCAAGCGGTATGCTGGGGAACAGAAGGTATTTAACGGGATATTGTGGACAGAGGAGCTTTCTTTTTTGAAAACTTGAACAAACTACTCATCTACTCCTAGCCAATTCACAAACCTAGGGGTATTGTCAATGGCGTTATTTGCATAGAACAAGGACACTTTTATAGTAAACATGCTAGAAATATTTGCTGATGAATGTATACATATATATGCACACATAAATTATATAGTATGCATGCGTATATATGAAATATTTAAAATGCATCACTCTCCGTCTCTCCAAACTCACAGATAGCAGAATAGCACTTCACAACAAATCACTCGGTCCTCAAACCAAATCATTCTTCCGGTTTCTTCTTCAAGTTGGAATTTGAGGATAGTGGGAGAAAAGGAGGGAAAAAGAAAAAAAAAGAAGTAAAGGCAAGAGCAGGGGAACACGAGAGGCAAAGGAGAAAAAGGAAAAAGGAAAAGGCAGAAAAATAACAAAGGATGGTGCTCTGGGGTGTTTAGAAGTCATGAAGAATCCTGGTAAAGCTGCACAGAAGAGCAAGTAAAAGGGAAATCCCTCCTCTCCATTCCAGCACCTCAATGGCTTTCATTCTCTCCCAGTTTACACTTCCTATGAGCAAGCAAAGGTAGGGAATCAGGAACTTATTCTCCCTATCCACAGCATCCCCTGCCAACCCCTTCTCTACATAGGCTACCTGAGAGACAGGAGACAAGAAAAGGCTCTGAATCATCCTTCTCTCAGCTAAGGACTTTACCGGATTTGAGAGTTTCAGTGCGCTCTGAAAAAACAGAGACCGTGTGCGTTATCTGGTTCCGCAGCTTCTTCAGAAACGTCTGGTTGTGAGCGGCCAGGTCGGAGAAGGTTTTCAGTTTGGACACGTGCTGCTCGGAGGGGTGAGAGGCGATCTTTTCTAGCTGGCTCTCGCTGGCCCCCTCGACGCCCATGGTGAAAATGGTCACGCCCTCGCGCCGGAGGTTCACGGCTGCCTTGGTCACATTATCCTCTGAGGGTCTGTGGGTCACCAGCACGGCAATCTGGGGCACCCCCTGATTCTTCCGACTGCCATTGCGTGCACTGAACACTTCCTTCCTGATCTTTCTGATGGCAGCTCCTGTGTAAGCCTTCCCAGCCCGGGGAGAGAGGTTCTGTATATTCTGGAGAACCTCTGACTTATTTAAGCCCCTGCTGAGTGAATTTATCACCTTCGTCTCATTGCTGTAGGTCACGAGGCCAACCCTCATGCAGTTTTCCTTTATGTCAAGAGCAGATACACTCTCTTCCAGGAATTCCTTAAGATATTCAAAGTTCTCCTGGCTGCCATTGACAGACACATCCAGCAGGAACACCACATCAGCCACAGACGGGCCTTGGCAAACTGTGTGGACAAGGAATGAACAAGCACAACTTTAGCTGGAGGTTCGGCATCTCTGCTCAGCATTACAAGGCACGGAGAACAACTACCAGAACCTGGCTACACACTTAAAGAAAGAAGGCCGTGCACAAAATGATCATGAAGCTGAGACCACAAGGTCCTAGATTCAAATACTAGACCTTAGCTCAACTCCCAGCTTTAATTTCCTTATCTGTAAAAACAGTATTTATCTCATGAAATTGTTATGGGGATTACATGTGATAATGTGCTTAGCATGGGGTCCAGTACTAAAAGTCACTCAGTGAACAGCTGCTACTGTGATAATTAAAATGTCATTAAGATCAGTAGGTAGAGTCCAAATATTCTTAAGTTATGGTAATGGACTAGCAATTGCACTTTCCATTATTTTATTTGGGAAAGAGGCTTGATATTTTCCTAGAATAAACAAGAAAAGCATTCTCCATTATCAATTAGACAATTATACTGTCTCGTTCAAATGTATTTAACTGGCAATAATGTGAGTTTCCTACGTTATTTATACTTGTACAGTTTGAGCAAATTGTTTTTTACTGGCTCTCTCCCGCCCCTCACCTGAATGATGTTCATAAACACCTGGCCATTCTTATTAATACAAGAGGACAGAGCTGGACAGCAGGTTGGAGGTGGAAGAGAACCCAGGGAAGCTGAGCAGCAGAAGTGAGGCAGTATGGGGCTGTAGCTATGAGGGTCTGGGGAATCCAGGGGCCTGATCTACCCAATTTCAAATGGCAGCCTGGCCTGGGGCCAGGCCATTTCACCTCGAAGGATCCCTGCAAGCTTCTCTCTGTAGAAGCAGGGGTTTGGTCTACCTGAAGTTGTTTCTAGCCCTAACATTCCGTGATTGCATTATGTGGTTTCAGCCGGCAAGGATTTCTTTAGGAACAAATTTACGTTTTAAATGAGCCAGTAATAAAACTACGTAGTACCGAAAGCCCAGGGAGGCCTAAAGCTCTGAGATAAGCTGGGTGTTAGAGAGGTATCCCTGAATTTTAAGATGTGTTGATGACATGCAACGTGAGACACAGAAAGCCAAGACTTGTGGGTTCACTGGATTTACAATGGCCGCAATCATTGGGTCCCCTTGAACATATGAATATTTAACATCTGAAAATGCAGTTCGGCTTTTGGGGAAAGGGGTGTTCATAGTTTCAATCCTCTTCCCATACTGGTTTTTCAAAAGTATTTAATCATCATTCCTATACATGTGCCCTAAACCCACCTTCTACAAGAATATCATCGGCTGCTCCATCCCTGTACTGGGTGGCGTCCTTGATGATCTGTGTCATGTTTTGGGAAAACGCGCCAAGGTCCCTGACCGACCGGAGCTTGATATGGAACTGAGCGGTGGCCATGGCCTTCAGCTCCTCCTCAGAAGCATCCTGCAGCCCCACAGAGACGATCCTCACCCCGTCTTCCCGCAGGGCCTTGGAGGCCTCTTCCACGTCATCCTCAGACTCCGCGGAAGCCAGGACCACCAGAATCGGGGGAAACTGCTTCCTGTCCCTCCTGCTGGCCGGTGCAGAGAAGTAGGTCCCATGTGCCTCCCGGAGAGCGTTGCCGATCCTCAGGGAGCCGCCAGTGAAGCTGAAGTTCTTCTTGAGGTGGTTCAGCATGGGGTTCCTGCTCTTGAAGGTGCTCAGCTGGAACTCACTGTGGAGCTGGTCACTGTACTGGCCCAGGGCCACGCGGTACTTGTGGGCCGCTATGGGCAGACTGCTGATCATTTTGTTGATGAATGCTTTCACAAGTGGGAAGGACTTAGTTCCCAGGTGATCAGAGCTGTCCACCAGAAACACGACATCTGCATACTCAGGGCCTACAAACCCAGAAACATATAAACAAAGCAAAAATTTTAGAAATTTACTACCCCGTTGAATGCCAACCATTTGTATAAAAACTTACTTTCCTTTATTTGTATGTTTAATACCTTCCCAATGAACTGAAAATAATAGCCTGAAATTAATATTCTCTCAAGAAAAGGAAGCTCTGTTTCTTGGGCTGATTCCTTCCATACACCCTCTCATTTGAACTCATCACAAATTAAGCATTACCTTTGTATGGAATTAATTAGAAATAGATAAATTTAGAGAAGTAAAAAATCCTGGGTTTTTATATCTTTAGTGGCTGATTCACTCCCCCTTTTTTGCTTTTAGAATTTGATCTCCATTTATACCAATAAAAATTTTAATTGAATCACATTGCTTTGAATTTGTTAGAATGGAGAAATCTGAATGATACTCTTTCATTGTGATTCCTCTTTAAGCAATGCCAACAGTGATCTGATTAACTTATATACATATTAGCTTTGTATTCCCAAGTGTTAAATTGATGAAGTTTAAAAAATACCTAAAAATCACAAAAATGTGGCAAATTTAAAGTTCTTTATAATATTTTTTGATGAACCATATGAGTGAGCATTATAATTGGTCAATTTATTCTTACATAAGTAAAACTTGATAGAAACCAGAATGCCTTAAGCTAGGAAAGGGATTATAGTTTTAGTTAGTAGTAACATCATAATTTTTATATAGGAATACAATACTTTGTTGAACTTTTAAGGCTTCATTCAATGCCAGGTTCAATGCTAGGTATATAAAATGAGATTTTTATGTGATAGAGAGTCACTGGATTTAAGCACAAAAATGTTGTTTATTGGTGATCTGCTGGTTTGAATTCAGAGTTCTCACCACTTTAGTAGAAGATCCATTTCCTGTCTGGGGAAGGGAGGGAAGGGTCTATCTGTCCGATGGTGCAGCTTTAAGAAAATACAGTATAATGGAACAAAGAACCGAAGTCCTGACTTTGTTATCAGCTAACTCCACCTGCTCTGTCAAACCATTCCACATACTTGGACCTCAGGTTCCTCACCTTTAAAATGAGTGGATTCAACTAGAAAATATCTACAGTTCTTCCTCAGTCAGATTCTGATGAGCTGAAGTGGTTGTGAGATAAATTCTAAAGAAATTAAAGTAACTTCAACCTCTTCCTGTCTACAATTGCTAGGAAACCAGCGTTGGCACCCTACGTGTGATTTCGTTCTCTTGATAGCAGTTTGATCAAGGCATAGAGGATAATATTCTTTCCTGTCTTCTAAAGAACCTAATTTCAACCAGTTTGAGACTCCTTTGATGACCATATAGCCAGCAGTGACTTTAGGGGAAGAAATAAGTGAGGGTGAATTAACAATGTCTTCCAAGAGAAGGCTGGAGCCCCTATGAGGACTGTCAGGGGAGCCCTGCCCAGGATGGCTTGACTTGTGGCCAAAAGTGATCTTTCTATGCATGAATAATGCCCCACTCCTCGTGTGGAGAAAGGAAATGTAGACAACTAGCACATGAGATAGAGTCATGTTCTGATATGGTCCAACATTATGTCTGAACCATGGGACAGTGGGGAAAAAGCACTGCTTCTCTTTAAAAAGCTTAATCTCAAGCCCAGTGAGATAGCAAAGGAAGATGTTTACGGAACAAAGTCTAGTTTCTCTCTTCAGAAGGTCTTGACTTGCTTCCAAGGTCAGAGTCCTTGAGAAAACTGTGAAAGCCAATATAGGTGGCCTCGGACATGAAGTGGCCAGTGTGAGAACTCACTATTTAGAGGCAGTGGCGGCAGTGAAGGGTATGTCAGTACTTGGACTTCATGTCCACGGGACAAAGACTACTGACAGACAGCTATGGAGCTTTCTCTTCAGGGCAAAAGCACTTTCTTTACAATAAGGAAACATTTTAAACTGGAGCAAAATCTGGATACTTAACTAAGACAAGGTTTTGGCACAAATGAACTAGGAAGAGACATGCCAAATTTTCTAGGCCTGAATCTAATATTAAAAGAGAGAATTTTCATACAAACTCCCAACAGACCTCAAAGGGGTTGAAATTGAGGACAAAATAACAGCTCTTATAGCTTTCTATCATAACCAAGGAATAAGGTCCAGAAACAAATGAGCTTTAAAGGAACACAGGTTGACATCAAAAAGAAATTGAGCTACATTAAAATCAAATCAAAGCAAAACTCTTAACTTTTAAGTAGGTCAAATCATATTATCTATTTTCCATAATGAAAATTAAGGAAAATAATTCTTTTTTTTTTTTTTACTTACCGGGATCTTTGTTCAGAGAGACATGGGAACAAATTATTATGAGGAACAAAATCAGCAGCATTTTCATATTATGACCTAAAATATTCTCCAACTTGAAATCTGAAAGGCAAAAATATAAACACCTAAAATTGTTGTGGATATTATTTTGGAATCAAGACACACACATAGGAGCACACAAAATTTTATAGCAAACTGGATGCAATAGAAGGCAGAATCCCTGAGTTTCTGATCTGTGAAGTACCTTAGGGAAAAAGATCCACAAGCATTTACACAATCATAAAAGTTTTTCCTGGTCTAAGACCCTGTAGAAACATGAAATTTTGGGCGCCTGGGTGGCTCAGTCGTTAAGCGTCTGCCTTTGGCTCAGGTCATGATCCTGGGGTCCTGGGATCGAGCCCCGCATCAGGCTCCCTGCTCTGCGGGAAGCCTGCTTCTCCCTCTCCCACTCCCCTTGCTTGTGTTCCCTCTCTCGCTGTGTCTCTCTCTGTCAAATAAATAAATAAAATCTTTAAAAAAAAAAACATGAAATTTTGGATTTCAATGGAGGGAGCCAGATGCATTCTAGTTCCAACAATACTTTGTGTCCCTATTAGTCATTATCCCCATATCCTAGTGTTACCTTCGGTCCCTTCACTGCTAAGACAATTCAGAGTTCATGGCTGGGACACAGTCTAAGACTTGATTTGTAATTTCTCTATCATGAACATGTACGTGTGTTTCATATTTGAGCAGTAAGTATTTTTAGATGTGGTCAAAATTCCTTGTTTTTTCCTTTTCCTACACTAACCATTTCCCTTTATCCTTAAATTTGAGAGAAGACATAAAAGTAGTGGTCTTCCATTTTCCATAATGATATCTTGCTCCTCCAAATGACTGAATTTGCACCAATTTACTTCCAACTACCTAGAACTGTGTGAGGCAAGAGTTTTCAATTCTACTTTGACCTAAAGCATTTTCGGCCACCTAGAATTATTCATTTCATAGAATAAAATAAAATAGTAAAGATATTGAAAATAAATATTTTTATGAAGCAGGTTGGGCTCATTTATTCATTCATTCATCCACTCAGTGAAAAATCAATTGCTCCATATTAATAAACTAGTATCTCTGGTCCTGCTGAATTCTTACCCAAACATGATTTTGCAATATTATATATGGCTGTCTCACTTCTTGTCAGGCAGGCTCCTAGTGCTTAGTACTTCACCCCTTCAGAAAAGGGACCTGTACCATGCAAAATTCCAACCCCATTTCCTCACCTACTCCATCATCCTTCTGACATTCCGGAATTTGGGACTCTGCCTTATTCCTTCATAAGCCTAGATGATATAAACTGTTCAGGCTGTAAGTCAATTTATCAACTTATTCCGAGGTAAACAGTGAACTGGAAAGGGCTCATAAGAGGTTGTTTTTAGTTCAACCCTTCCATTTTAGAGGCATGTTAGTCCTAACATGGATTGCCTAAATGAAAACCAATTCGTAATATCTCCAAATTTTCTACAAATGTGTATAACAACAAATTCCAACATTTGTTGAGCCTTTACTATGTGTCATACCCTGTGCTAACTGCTTTACATTTGTTCTCCTATTTGATATTGATAACAAACCTAGTAGCAGGTGATATTCTTATTTTGCAGATAAGGAAACAGATTCATAAAGGGGAAGTAAGTAACAGACTCAATCACATTGATAAAATGGGCCACAGTTGGATGTACAGCCCACAGAAGATCTGTCCTTGCAAACTGTTACCCTGCATCCCAAACTCAACATTGTGAACACGAAAAGTGTCTCCAAGTTTCTTTCTGAAAGTTAAAACCTGGATAGAAAAGTGAGGATTAGGAAAGGCCACAATAATCCCAAAGCAGCATGAAGCATCTGGAAATTTCCCCATGCAGATGATCAATACCATGATACAATAAAAGTTGAGTTGTTTGGAATAGCATCTTGCAAAATAACTTTCTTGCACCCTTTAAATGGAATCCCAAATCTGGTGTGTTATAAAGCTACACTTTGTGGAATCCACATGCAAAAGTTTCTCTTAAAGTGCATATGTGCCGTGTTTTGTGTATACAGTCAGACTAATAGTGGGCTAAGCCTCCAAGCTCATGCTTAGAAGACTGGGGATCATTTTGACCATATCAAAACATGAATGAACTGCCTATAATCTGTTTGCTGTTCTACTCCCAGACATGACCAGGATTTACATAAATTTTTAAATATCTGAATATTTAAAAACAATTAAAAAAAATACCCAAAGACATGAGTGGAGAAGGAGAGATTTACTTAAAGTAATAACATAAAATTTAAATTCACTGTACACTCCATCTTAACAATGAGATTGTTATAGAAATACTCCCGAAGGCACAGCTCTCTTTAATCTAAGTTTTGTTGTAATTCATTTATTCTGAATCAAACAAGCTGAGGCCAATCTACTTCTTCTGGAAATTGTAGGCTATAAAAAGCTTTAAAAAAATCTGGATCTCTGTAAATTTTCTGTTGAGAAGGTAGAATGTTTCTAATTTAAACCACAGCTGCAAAAGCAACACAGCCACCAAACCCTTGGCTTCAAACCCAGAATGTTTAGAACTTGTGCAACACCTCTCTTGAGGCTATTAAGAACAAGGGGTTTCAGGGAGACCTCTGCCCCACGCAAGCCAATTCATAATCTAGGACATGTCTTCAAAAAAATATTAACAGCCCAGAAGGGATACTAAAGAGACTTCAGCAAAATTAAGATAAATGCCATTTTTTCCTTTAAAATGAGCATGCAAGATACATCATTTCCAAGCATATGGGTTTTATTTTTCAGAAACAAGAATATTGTCAGCTGTTGCACTGTAAGAAACAATACTGGGTCTGTGCTGCAAAGTTCAGGATAAATTGTCATTTGCTTATTTACCGCCCCCCCCATCTCTTCCATTATTTCCCTTTCTTAAGCTGTTCTACTTCTCAGAAGTCAAAAGATAGAAAGAAAAATATCCAAAGAGAGACAACGTCCACGCTGAAATGCTACAGCACAAATCCTTGGCACACAATTGGAACAAATAAACAGTGAATCAGTGATGGTAAGCAATACAAAACACACAAGCACTCTTGGGGCAAGCAAGCTGCATAGTTTTACTAATGTCATGTTTTTCCTAATTGCAGTTTCTAGAATCACAAAGAGAGGCTGTATATAGACTGATCATATTGAACAAGGTCATTAGGACCTTGCCATTTTGTAAAATTGACACTCGTGTGGGTGGAGGAATATTTGATTCAGTGGAGAGAGCATAGGCTATAAAGTCTCATAACCTGGGTTTCACTCTGTTCCTCAGTGGTTGTGTCACTGGACGCCCCACCTCACTTCTGTGGGTTCCTAATCTGAAGCACAAGGGATTACATCCTCCAAATTCCAACTGTCATACATTACTGTTCTTTGATCTAACAAATAGTACTAGAAGAAAAAAAGTGACCAGTTAAGCCAAGAGCACAGTGAAATATCAAGCACATGTTCTGAAACAGTCTTAGGGAGGAAAGTAGTCCTTAGACAACCACCTGTGAAGGTCCTGTGTTAGAGGGACTACGACAGCAAGAGAAGGAGCAGGTCTCAGTTATTGACCCCTTCTGGGTCAGAAGCTCTGCTGGAATCCTTCCAGACCCAAGGACATCAACATAAGGGGACTAAAATTTCAATAAGGCAAACCTTATTTTATTTAATCTTGGAGTTAAATGACCCACTTAAAAATGAGGAAAATATAGAATAAATCCAAAAGAAATATAAAAATACTAAAATACTAAAAATTTGAGCAGAAATCAGCAACTAAAAAAGATAAAAGAAACTCAAGAATTGAAAACACCCACCTCACAACAGACTGATAAGAGAGAGAGAGAGAGAGAAGACACAGATAATTGTACGAATGAAAAAGGAGACATAACTCTAGATAAGGCAGAGACTTAAAAAATTGAAGCAGTAGTTAAAAATATTCACAGAAAACTCCAAGCCTACATGATTTTACTGGCAAGTTCCAAACTTTCAAGAAACATATCATTTGAATCTTCCACAAATTCTTTCAGAGACCAGAAAAGGAGGAATATTAGCTATTTCCTTTTTGGGGGGCCTATAAAATCTTGATATGTAAGTTAGACAAGGACAGTATGAGAAAGGAAAATTAAACACCCATTTTACTAATGAATATAAATACCACCTATAATATTTCCATATAATTATGGAAAGAGCCCAGATGTCCATCGATGGATGAATGGATAAAGACGTGGTATATGCACATTTGGTGCTGCCCCTCCTGCATTGCAGAGTTGTCACTGTGCCATGTCTGCAAGCTGGGGATGGCCTGTCCCAAGACCCACTTGCAAGGGCTAAATGATGGCATTCTGACCAGGAGAACATGAGCGGAAATGACGTCATCCACTTCCCAGCCTGGCTTTATACCACCCACAGGGCGCTCTCCCATCACCTTTTCCCTTCCAGTTGGCTGGAACGGAGACAATCTCAAAAAACAAATGTTGACAACGGCCTGGGGACCCCATGACTGTGTGGAAAGGGGCTGCGCCATGAATGTGTTGATATGCCTACTTCTGTTAAATCGCGGGTAACGTAAATTACTATTGTGTTTTCCAGTATAGATTATTGGGTTTATTTGCTACAGAACTAAATGTCCCTCAAGCCAAGGAAGCTCCCAACACTGGTAATGGTAGGATAGCACAAAATGGTAGGGGCAGGAAAGAATTTGTGATCAGGGCATAGGAAAATTCCCGAGGCACAAGGGGACTCACTCCAATAACGACTGTGAGGTCACACTGGAATTATTCAATGATCCAGCTGTATGCAGGCTGTGTAGCCTCGCGGTCAAACTCACAGACAGCATCTGGCATCAGACTACCTGATTAAAATCCTGCTTGGGTGGCCCACTAACTGAGTGACCAGGCAAGCAATGTAATCCCTCTGTACCTCTCTCTCATCTATATAAAGGTGTTAGTACCCACATCCACTTCAAGCGACTGCTGTGCGGGTTACACAGACTGATGATGCATGCACAGGAGTTGGTGCAGCCTCTGCCTTGCTGTAGATATTAAATTTTTATTCATTTTTATTCTTGTTATTG